GTGACATATTCCTCGCCATTTGAACAGTCATCTCTGTCATTGTCACATATGCATTATTTGCAATTGTGAGATGACATACCAAATCTCTATTTGCACCTGTAACTATTTGAAAGTTTCTGAAATGACGAATATATTTCATGTTCTGTATGAGTGTGGACTGCTGTTCAGATATGAACCTGCGAACAGGGCTGCAACAATTCTGAGAAAATCTTAATTTGGGATGTCACGACAAAGCGATGACAAAGCATAAAAATAGGCAGAGAGTAGTGTAAGTAGCACTAAACCTTCACAGGCGCATTTGTCTCTTTTTTATGCGAAACTCATGCTGTTTTGCTGTTTCTATTACAGGCTGCATTGCAGATTTTCGGGATCATAGAAATTTTAGACCACCGTACACGGCTACCCCAAAGAGGAAAGAAACAAAGTTTTGCAGATCATTAATGTAGGTACTTGTGCACACGTCATGCATAATTTAAGAAACTTACCAATCCATGGATTACGAAAACGTTTGCGCTGTGTGTCACCCGAAGTGTGTTTGGGCAATAAACTTATATGAGTAATTCCTTGGAGTGTGCAAGCAAAGCTTATAGGTATTAGATAGTGATTTATTAGTGCATTTTGTCGATTGAAGAAGTGCACACTGATTCTGTCACATCGGTATGATCAGCTCCAAACTTGAGAGTTCTGGTTGCAGACAGGTCGACAGCAAATGTAACTGTACCTTTCAGTGCTCAACCAGTGATGAACATCTGGAAACCTGTGATCAAGCATCTTCCCGAGGTAAGAGAGTTAACATGCTGTGCAAATCTTGCAATCGACCGAACTCTGCATGACAGATTACGAACCGGATTTCGATTCCATAATACCAGCCTAGTTCGGCAAGGGTGGAAACTGGACTTTCATAGTCAGTTAACTCTCTTGCCTCTGGAAGATGGTGATCCAGTGACTGCAATTGTCTTACTTTTCTTGATGGAGAATATCAGTATTCAGAACATTTTCAGGACACACATTTCAGGACACGTTCTAAAAGTGTTACTTCCATGTGCTCTGTGTAGTGTTCAGAAGTAGAACACTTGGGAATAGAGTGAATGTGAAAATTTCCTATTTCCCTGTACCAGCTGGCTGTGTACACTCAAGAACACTAGGGCTATTAAATTGGATGCCAATACAAAATACCAAAGTGGTACACCGGATGCCTAGAGGGTGGTGGATGGCAGGCACCCTCATAAAGGATCTCTCTGGCATATTGCTAAGGGTAAGTGTGACACTTGCCAGCACTGGGATATAGTGTATATGTCTTTGGTGTATCCAACAAACATTGTGTTTGTTTGTTTGTTACTCTCAGATATATTCCAGCCATATGATGGCGGTCTGTAAATAATCGAATTTGGAACAGACAATGCAGTGATTAACATCAAGAGCTTCAATCTATGCAATTGGGATACAATGACATGCTTCAAATGTCGGGCGTGTGAACACTGCACGAGTTGGATAAGGCTGGCTCTGGACAGAAGGAGCTTTCTAATGGTGATGAAGATTGGTGACCTGCTGGGCTATGACCAAATGGCCAAAACTATGAAGCCTTCGACATGTTCATCATGTAATGGCTTGCACAGACAGTGTCAGACCTTCAACAACATTGTTCCATGATGGCTCTAATAGAGCAATTACTGTGTAGAGCCATTTTAGAGGCATCTGCCTGGATCTCACGAGGATTGTTAGCTCTCGGTGGCTCAAGGTTGGTAATCTTATAGGCCTGAAGGATGATGGCGTGCAACCATAATGATATGGTGTTGTGGCTGACTTTATTCGTGGAGGCCTGGGGGATGGGAAGAAACAGGTGTTTCAGGGCACCACACAGAGTCTTGGAGCAACGGATATAACACCTTGTCCTCTTCATCTCCCGCTCCCACAATCAATGATAAAGGTGGGATAGAGAAGGGCCTGTCGAGCTGTCTTGTTAGTTGTTTCTTGGCAATGAAATCCCAGCACAACCCGAGGTGAACAACTCCTTGCATGCCCGCACTGAATATGAATAACCTTTATCACCTAGAGCTCTCTTAAGATGTTAAGATGAGCCAGGTGTACACATGAAACCTGCTTGGTAACCTGCTGTGTGTAGTAGGTTTGGCGATCCCGGTAGAGCTAGCTGATCACTTCCTGCAAGACTTCTGAGGTTGACGACCCCCCCTCTCGTCGGATACAAAGGCATGATCAAAATCAGAGCGAGGCTCTTGGTTGCCTTGACCTTCTGCATCACCCTGGGAAGAAGTACTGGTGGCAGAAAAGTGTACTCTCTCAGTCCCTCCCAAGTGTCAACTGCCCAAGTCTAGGGGTCTGGGATTGGAGAGACATAAGTGTGCCACTAACGAAGTGTGAGGGGTTGATGGAGAGCAGGAGAAAGATGGGGCAGCATCTTGATCCATCTGTCCCGTGCTACTGTGAGGAGATCTAGGTCTGTCTACAATAGGCCTCCTATGAACTGGAGATGATAAGAAGAAATGAGTTTCGACTTTGTCTCGTTTTTCATCCATCCCAGCTGATGTAGCAGGCACCTGGTGAAATCACTGTGTAGGATCAGAGTCGCAGAGTCCGGATGGTTCTGTAGACAGTCGTCTATGTATGACTTGAACCAGATGTCCCACAGGTGTGCTTGGCCAGGTAGTGCTTGTTGAAGGTGATGAGATTGTGGATCATTCAGAATTGGTCAAAGTCCTTCTTTGGGACAAGGAATATTGGCAAATAGAAGCCTGGTGTTACTGCTGGAGCGTGCACAATCTCTATGGCTCTTTTCTGAAGCAGAATATCTTTGTTTGCGACAAGAAGTGGATGCTGCTTCTCGGGGTAGAGCCATCTTTGAGGTGCCATGGTCAACGGTTGGTCCGCGGTCAACAGTGGGTCTGCAGTCAGATTGAGGCGGAATCTGTAGCACAGCATGTTGACAACGGATGGGTTTTTTAAGGTGATTCAAATATGCCAAAAGCTACCCACGAACCTACAGGGCTGTCAAAGACTGGGGATGGGTGATCTCTTCACGGACGAGTAATAAAGTGGTTTTACACCATAGCAAGAAATATTGCGGCCACAACACAGCAACTGGATCATAATCAAGTATGCAGGGATATGTTTTCAGGTTTTCCCAGAAAAAAAGAGGAAAAGTCGGGGGGGGGGGGGGTCCCCCTCCCAAAGAAATTTTTTAAACATCTGATTGCATGTCAGTATTGCAGGGCTTGATTTAAGAAACTTGATTTAACCTGCACAAGGTGCAGGTTGACATGAAAAGTTATTTGCACCAGACTAAACCAGGTTGACCTCGTTCCCATCAATTTATCAAAGTTGAAACACAGATGCCTAAACTGGTTTAATTAAGTAAAATCTCAGATCTCTGATGTTTGTGTCAAGTATCATGAATTACACATAACACAGGGATTAGTGATATTGTATAGTGAATATAGCTTAGAGATATTGAGCATGTTCAAAGAGAGATGTTGTGTGGACAAGCATTAAGGGTTAGTCAGAAACAAATTTGAATAAATTTTTTTTACATGCATTTGGTGCATGTAGACATAAATATTAGGTTGCATTATTCATTTATAGGTTGACTGGTGTATGTTTTAAATCGCTAAATTGAGTCCTGTATGGAGAAAACAAACTCCATGAGGGCACTGGACCCGATCCAATTTAGCAACCCCTTAAAGCCAGACGGTGAGCAATGATCCATGTCTTTAGGCGACCAGACAATACAGCGATAGACATCATGAGGATCGATCTACACAATTGGGATACGATGATGTGCATCAACGAAGTCAGCACTTTGTACAAAATATTTCGGCTCTTCCGAAGGGCTGCATTAGGTACATTAACTACTCCGACCCACAAAGATACGGGTTAGAATCGGTCTTCAGCAACCCATTCTTGTCGTAAGGGTGACTAACAGGATCAGTGGTCAGGCTCGCTGACTTGTATCCCATGTATTGATGCTAATGATATTAACCACTAGATTGTTTAGTCCAGACTCGATTATTAACAGACAACCGTCATATAGCTAGAATATTGCTGAGTGTGGTGTTACCAAAAAAAATAAAATAAACTACTCCGCTTTTGATGGGGATATTTGTATCTTTCCATTATACACAAAACAGATTCTCATATGTCGAGTGTATAGTTAACTAGAATGACATATCTGATTATCCCTATAAAAAGTTGGACAGTATATTACCTCTGATCGCATATATATTCTACATGTTGTTGCAGAGAAGAGGTTGGTAAGATTTCCGCCCATAACCTCCCCTCCCCCCAAAAATAAATAATAAAATATATATAATAAAAAGGTTTAAGTGAGAATGCATACATTGATAAGTTTTGGAGCGGGAATACGTGCGGAAGTCTCTCCGTGAGGTTACAGGCGTAATATATTGCTAACAGTAAAAAAACGTCTACACTCCATTCTGGTAGAGACGAAAATGTTTACAAGTTAAAGTCACTGGTGCATGAAAGCTTTACGTCACCAAACAAAAAAAGTGCCTGTGTCATTCAGTGTCCTACGCCTGAGGTTGATCAGCTGAAAAGCTTGTTTCGATAATTCGGTCAGCTCAAGTGGTTCTCGCTTAAATTACACAACGCCAAGCATAATAGGGTAACTCCGCGCCGGCCCGGCACTGTGGTAAACACTACTCGTTGCAGCATTAGGCACAACCAGAGCTCTGAAAAACCGGTGGAAACTGGTTATTGCGTCTTATCACTATGTATGACATTGCTGTAAGTCTGCTCATCAATGCGAACATTGTCATACACAGGGTGGGGGCGGCTTTTGATACCACGCTTAGACAGGGTGGGGGCGGCATTTGATACCACGCTTATACCTGGACGATAAGAAAAAATATATCATGATTTTATGACGCGTTGTTTAGTTTTCTACACCAACGTATTGATCACTGGTGATAATGTTTGCATAACACAACTGTTCAATCGTATGTATTTAAAAATATATAAACACTTACTTGTACACCCACGGCATCCAACATTGCTTCCTTTTCCGCCTCGACGGGTCCAATGTGGCGTTCAGCAAAAGTGTCATGTTTTGGAAAAAGTTTATCAAAATGTGTTGTATCTGATGAGTAGCTTTTTTGAATTGCGAGAATCACGCTTCTGTTATTATTGCTTGCTTGTTGTCGTGTCAAGCTGGAGATGGCACTCACAACACGACCCGCTCGATACATCGTGCCAGAATCTAGAGCTGAAAGAAATCGTTTCGCTGGCTGAGTAAACTTGATACTAGCTTTGACTGAAGGTTGGAGGTGTACGCGACAATCACGCTAGTAAGCAAATGGTCTTGACAGAGCACACGCGAATGTTTTGTTCCGAATTCCAGCCAATCAACACCCTCGATAGAGCTCTGCCCCTTTTGGTAATCCAAGGATGGTCTTACCGTCCATATTCGGAAAGTGTTGAATATTCATAAGGTGAGAATCGACAGGGGTGCATATTTTGTAGAACATTTCCGACTCTGGTTTTTCACAAAAGGACACATTAGCACAATTTAGAGCTTTTGTAACAATACTACACGCATGTTTTTTGTGTGTTCAGTTGTATTAGAAGTTCAAAGTTATATCTTGGAAGCTGACAGTAGCATGTCGGCTACAGGTATGTATTGAACACCCCTTGCGAGGTTTCAACACCACGTGCTATTGTTTACAAGTCGAACCATTCAGTATCTGCTGAGAGTGTCGCATCATCTACAGGAAAAAAGAATTGCGACATTTCCGAACGGCAGGATATACACAGATTATTTTACTTCAAATAAAAACTGAGTTTGTTTATCAACAGTTTCTTTCCACATCCATTTCGACAATCACGTGATAACCACGATTCCAGCACACTGCTTACCGACTCGGAATGAGTGATAGACCTGTTATAATAGGTGAGGTGAGGTGAAATTGGGTTTGACGTCGAGCCCAAATTATTGCACTTAGATAGCGACGTGCATGCACGTGTGTGTGTGTGTGTGGCTGCGTGTACTAGTCCGGACTGATGCCGATTTATAGTGCAAGCCCACTGAGATACAATGCCGCAGTTTAACATGAATATCCAACTCAGACACAGTATACTGACTCCGAGCCGACCAGTCCTTGTTTTAGCCCCTTAATGCCGAGCGCCAGACAGGGTAACAACAAAATTAAGCACCATCTTTTAACGTCTTTTGGTATGATGCGGCCGGGGATCGGACCCCGGAGCTTCCGCTCTCGGGGCGGACGCTCTACCTCTAGACCACGGAGGCGGTTGTTAAAAAATGGTGAGGCGGTGCGCCGGATTATTGTGACTAACGCAATGCGTGATTCATAATTAGGAGCAATAATACATAATTTCCTTAATAACATAATTATGTGGCAACAAGTATGAAGCAAAACGCAAGTATAATTAGAACATATATGCGCATGATGTTTCAAATAATGCTTTAAGCACCCTCAAATACACGGGTAAGATAGCTCTTCATTGATAACACACGTATGTTTCCTGTTCATAGCCAGAATAATGAGTGAAACGTCAAATGTTTTGAATGGCGTGTGGGTCTGACAATGTCAAGGAAACAGGAACAAAAAGTGTTGCCGGAAATGTTAGAAAAAATGCTTTTATGGCATCATTTAATGAATACGAATCATGGGGAAATGAAAATAGCATATATCAAAATAACGCAAATCTACCTAATCTAGCCTATCCAAACTGATGCTGTGAATAGCCTAAAGAGGTACTTTTACAAGTAAAATGGTGTTAAAATAAGAAAATACTCGTGTGTTGTCATGCATGTATGAAACAGCCTATAGCCTGAAGTAATGACCTGACACCCGTCCCGAGGTGATGACCTCACACCGGCCCGTGCATCTTCACAAAAAATGATGGCATGGTGGAAGAGTTAAAAGCTATGAAACCGGATGAGTATCGGAAGGTTTTTTATGTTTAATCTACATATGATTTCTTCGTCTTACTCAGCTAGTGACGTATCTGAATCAGTACTATCACCCAAAGGTATGATAACTGGTGCAACAAGGCTGATATATATACGTGATTGGCGGCACTGACGTTCTATTTCAAGAACATGATCTTCAGTCTTTTGCAATACCTCTGGTGTGACTCTAGCCAAGGCTGCGTTGATAAACCCTTTGACATGTGTGGGATTCAATGCTCTGTTATGTCTTGCCACGAACCCTTTGTATTACAGTTAGCCCAGATAAGTTCAATAGAGGGGATTCACAATGGCTGACTGGCGTACATAATACAACGTGACCGTATTGTGCCGCCAGGACGTCTGTCTTGTAATTTCCTGGTTTCTTATTCAGAACTTACGTTTCCAGGTGGTCTGAAGTCGACATAGCAAGATGTCATCTATTCCTGCATGGTCGCCTTCAGATTGCTCATGGTTGGCGCGACAGTTCCTAGTTCCCGGGCGTTATCCATGACAAGGACACTAGGGTGGTTGAGATCGGGCAGCGGCTGGTGTTCCAACCAGTCTATAAGGTGGAAACTGGACTTTTATGGTCAGTAAACTCCCTTGCCTCGGGAACATGCATACTGATGGAATAAATAAGTTAGTCATAAGTCACTTGAAGACTATAAATGATGAGAAAGAACGAATCTAATTTATAGCTTTGTTTTATCTGACCTGTTCAATTCACGTGTGTACTTCATAACTGCAGACCACTTTTGTGTTTAGGTTGATAAACATGTACATTTCCATGCAGTCTGTCATAAAGACCCTGGAACATATATCCAAATACAGCCATTTCAAGTCTATATTTGGCAATTCTAGATCACTGCAGTTTCGTATGAAAATGAAAATCTCTGGGCTCCTTTTTATTATAATTTTTATAGCTATAATTTAACAACTGTTTTACCTGTAAAATATGTCCATTGTAGAGACTAGATGTTAGTCTAATGCCCATGTACCCGGCGTTGAAGAATACTCGATTCGGACAGGAGAATAATAGATAATAAATCACAACAATAAACCATTACATTTATGACAGTTTTATATCGCGTGCATATGAAGGAAGCTGTATATTTTTTAAACATATACTCTTTTATTATATCTCTGCCTAGTTTTTTCAGCAGCGTTTTACTCTCACCTATTTAGGGAAAACACCCTGGACGTTGTATACGTTCCGTGGTCAAGGAATGTTTATCCTGCTGATGTTAAACATATACACAGTTTGTGTTTTTTTACCTGATCCAACTGCTCGGAAAAGATGTTTATGAAAATGTAATATTGGTTTGATGTACATGTGCAAGGCCGTAGTTAACTTCTTTTGACAGGGGTGGGGTGGTGGTGGTGGTGGTGGTGGTGGTGGTGGGGTGGGGTGGGGGGTGGGGGGGGTGATATTTGTTAAAGTATCACTTGTACCCAACTTGATTACCCCACCCACCCCCGCCCCCCCGCCCCCCGGCTGGCTACGGCACTGATGTGTACATTTGTATAATCAATACATGAGCTCTATTTCTACCGTAATGTTGCTGCTAGCGACCTGAGTGTAAACATAGTTCAGTGAGGTGAGGTGAAATGTCGTTTAACATCGCGGTCCAGATAATTTCACTTAATTGACAACGTGCCCGTGTGTGTATATACAACCATACCGCTATAAGATATATTTTAATCAAGAAAACAACAACAATGCGTTAAATATTAAATGTTGAATATACAATACTAAAGATTATCATCTCTTAAACTTTCCAGAAATCCCAACACTGTGTTTTAATAGGGATTTGATTTGAACCCATGATAACTTAGTAAGCACTGGAAACATATCTGTACTGTATTGAATAAGGTATTAGCCTGATACAAATGTTTGAGAGAGATTATTCATTACATAAATTTTGTCTTATCTGACTTTTTATGCTCCTAGATAATGAACAAGGATTATTTTCAGGTGCAGCTGGACTAACAGCATCTTTGTTTGAACACATGCAGCTGCTGTTCTGACCGGCCTCCAGGTAAATAAGGCTCATCAACCTGTGAAGATCTGGGTCAGAATAGGTCTTCAGCAACCCATGCGTGCTGTAAAAGGCGACTACACTTGTTGTAAGAGGCAACTAAGGAGATTGGGTGGTCAGGCTCAGTGATTTAGTTGATGCATGTCATCCATCCCAATTGGGTGGATCCATGCTCATGTCATTCACTGGATTGTCTGGTCCAGACTCGATTATTTTCAGACTGCTGTCATATTGCTGAGTGCAGCGTTAAACAACAAACAGACAAACAAAACTATACTTAATAAAGGGCACGGGAGGCCCAGTCGTCTAAGTAACTGTAAATCACTGCGCAGTTGCATCCCTTTCGGCACCTTGTGGGTTCGAATCCCGGTTCGTCCTGGTTATGTTTCTAGGTTTGTCAGCACCAAAACGAGGTCCATCACTCTGTCCTGCAATAGGTTGAGACTTTGTGTGGATTTAAGGTAATTTTGAACAGCTCTTCAGTAGTACAATGCACAGCTCATCAGCTTAATGTGAGGGGAAAGTCTGAGGTGATGCAGGTTTCCCACATTATTGAGACCGCCTCCGTGGTCTTGTGGTAGAGCGTCCGCCCGGGGAGCGGAAGGTCCAGGGTTCGATCCCGGGCCGCGTCATACAAAAAGACGTTAAAAGATTGTACTTGTTGTTACCCTGTCTGGCGCTCGGCATTAAGGGGCTAAAACAAGGACTGGTCGGCTCGGAGTCAGTATACTGTGTCTGAGTGGGGTATTCATGGTAAACTGCGGCATGGTATCTCAGTGAGCTAGCACTATAAATCGGCATCAGTCCGGACTAGTACAAGCAGCCACACACACACATACACGTGCATGCACGTCGCTATATAAGTGCAATAATCTTGGACGCGACGTTAAACCCAATTTCACATCACCTCACCACATTATTGTTTGTTTGTTGTTTAACGCCACACTCAACAAACATCAACAGATGAAAGCGTGATTGTCCATACCTTTAGGATATGTCGACACACATTCAATGCAATCCCCCAATCCTGTTAAAGTTGCTTCATCTAAGATTTACAAAGTATAGAGGATCCACAGGGGCTCGGCAAGCCATATAGGGTGGAGTAAGATAAGAAGTCCCAAATATCCCTTGCTTGTGGGAAGAGCTGACTAAAGAGAATCAGGTCAGGTTGAGTGACTTGGATGCTTCGCCTGGTCGAAACTCGATTATGTACAGGATGCTGGGATACAGCTCGTATAATGCTGAAGATTTTGTAGTTGCATCTATTAATGTTTTTCAATCCATCAGAGATGGACAGATGGAAATTAAAAAAACACAACTTCTTTGATGGTCCACGGATTCCCATTAATCTCCTCTTACAACAGACATGGGGTGCTGGTGACCTATTCTGCGGCCCTGAAATCCTCATTGGGTCTCTCTCAGAAATCTGTACTGAGAGCAGGAAACTATACATAGACACAAGAGAAATATACAACAAAAATTAAAATTTTTAATGTTTCTTTTTTAGTAACATGTGAAGGAACTGAGGATCCTGATGGTCACAGGACAGTATGGCAACGTAGAACATGTTCACTTTATTTGTCTGTCTGTGAACAAATAGATACATAGCTGAAAAGGAACATCTCGCGTCAAATGCGATCCAATTCTGCATGTTCTGACTCTAAATATGAATAAATTCCCCCTCTGCCCTACATTGTGTATTGTCAATAGAAAACCAAAGTATCTCATGAAAATTTATGGACTACTAAGAATTTAAAGAAACCTGATTATTTCATATTACTAGATACTAGATACTATTTCACCAAATAGTATGAAAGAATTGGGTGTTCTTTAACTTCTTTTAAGTTTTTGTTTCTAACCTTTTTTCAAAGACCTATAATGACAGAAACAGACAGAAACAGACCAATTTTTTCTCAAAATCATAGATGCCAACATTACTTAGGAGAAATACTGAGAGAAAATCCCAGTTAGTCCCAAACAACTGTATGATAGATATTTGCATGATGATTGAAAGATCTGAATGGTGGAAGTTTTACATGAGGTGAAATAGGGTTGAATATTTCATACAAGATTATTGCACTTATACAGCAAAGTGGGAAGTGTAAGTGTTTTCAAGAGAGCCTTATGATCAACAGGCATAAAACAATTTGTAAAACAAAAAAACCGAATTGGTGCCATCTGCACAAAGTGTTCTTAAAACAAAGACCATCACAGTGACACAGGCCATAGTCCTTAATCCTTAAAGGAACCGGATTGCTGACCAAGGATAAATATATAGAGAGAATTTAAGATTGAAAACCCACAAAAAAACTGATCCTGATAAGGGACACAAATCAACCATAGACAGCTCTAGCACAATGATTGTGGAAGTGAATCCATTCTTAGATCACATAGCAGCATTATCTAAATGATCCCACGTGTGGTCCATGAGTCCTTGAGGTTTTCGATAGTTTTCGAATCTAGAGAGTATCTGGACCCCTAAATCTTTGGCTTTTAATGACAAGGACCTCCTGACTTTCATGCTTAGTTTCGAACACTGATCAGTGTGTTCAGTATTACACACTTGTTAACCATGTTGTTCCTCAGGCATGGTTAGTGATTGGCCACACTGATAATCATGGTGTACAGCACTTCGTTGTCATGCTGTTCAGCGTTGTGAGGGTCGATGACAACCATCTTGCGTGATGACATCTTCATTTGTCTCTCCACCTCAAGGAAGCCCTTATCTCCCGACAGTATTGTGAAGGGGATGTGCTTAGGCAGCCGCTCGTCCATCTTCCCAACCTGTATATTGACAGAATCAAAGAGCAACTTAATTGTAATTTAAGCAATGCTAATTAACTTTGAAAATAAATGTCCTGAGGCCACCTTTCTGCACAGCTTTGCAAAACAAGATCTTTTACACTCATATCGTGGTTGCTTAAAAAATGCAATCAGGCCATCAACAGGCAAACTAGAGGTTGATAGTGTAAGCATTTTCTAGCGGCAGGATAGGACAACACACAAACCAGAATTCCTCTCTGATTTTACTCGGAATGTGTACCAAAATTCATCAATATAGGCATAAAAAGTAACAGTTATCCTGAAAGCCAAGTAAGGACCAAGCTACCAAATAGTAATAGTTTGATTCCTTCCAGAAGCAATTACAATAAGAAAAGCTTATGAAGGACGTACAAATTTGATATGTTGTCATATACAGTCGTGCCTCGTTTATACGGACACTTGCGTCATTTCACAATTCGTCCGTATAAACGAATTTCCGTATAACTGAAACCAGCTTCTTACTGGAAGAGTTACTTCCCTTCAATTATGCAACTCATGACAGATGACAGAGCAAACAGATACATCCACTCAATCTTTATTCAAGATATACACGTTTCAAAAAATCTGTCTCTGACCTCCACAGACGCCATATTTATCGAATGGGATTACATGTACAATAAACAAGCTCGTCTCAAATGCAACTCAGTGTCACTCGGTTAATTGACTTCTCACGAATCAAAGGATTACCACCAGCGGAAGTGTATTGTCCGGGTAAGTGAGACGATTTTGTGTGCATTTCAGTGTTTTGTGTATGAAAATGACCATCCGGTTCCGGAAACTGAATTTCCGTATATACGGGTAAATTTATATAGTAATTATTTCGTTTTGAATGAAAATCGTCCGGGAACCGAGGTTTCCGGATATCTGAAGTCCCTATAAACGGGTCATGACTGTAACAGCATGATGAGGGATTAATTATACTTAAATCTACATTTCAACAATGTAATATGTTTGCTAAGAAAGTAAATTCAAAAGATGAAAACTAACATTCTGCTGCACAAGGGACCACAGAGAAAAAATCTAATTAGGAGATAAATTGGTGTGTTTTCAATGTAGAGCTAGGTTACCTGTAGATTTAACCGTGCTAAATTGGATTTGGAACCGAACATGCAGCGTGAGGTTTTAAATTTTAAATCTAGCTCTACATTGAAAACAGAGTATGTTTATTGCCATTCTCCCATGGGTAAAGAAAACACGAGCTCCTTGGTGTTAGCAAATATATTGAATGAAGCGGCCTGGTTTGAGTCCAGTGTTTTGAGTGTGTTGTTGATCTGAGTTACTGAATCACCGACAACAGCCTTTAAATAAGATGTGGCGCTGTATATGCTCAAGCAGTTTGTTTGCACCATAATACTTCACTCCAACATATGACAGGCATTGAAAGCATATAAACATGGTAAGCAAAAATGAGGTGGGCACCCCAAAGAAAAGTAAGCAAGCTTTGCAAAGCTCTCATTCTACACCACACGTCACCATTATGACATCATATCGCTCATAGAGACATGACGTTACAGTTGTACATAGAAGCACCAAATTCCAACCTCTCTCTTGTCCCCAAAACTTAAAATACATTCTCTTTGTCGATTTCTATCGTGCTTTCTGCATGAAATGTATTGCCACACATCCTTTCAATATTGTAGTAACTACAACTTTACATTTTGAAACCTGTAATTGTAGATATAATTATTTGAATATTGCGATTTAACAACCTCTGATTGACCAATAAGAATCAAGTAATTTCCAAATTCATGGTAGAATTGTAATATATGTTAAAATTGCATAAGTAACATAAGCAACATAAGATACTCACTGTCAGACATATTGCGAAGTCTGCAGCATCCTTACTGGTACCACACTGGTCATGGATGTGCAGACAGTTGTTTTCAACCAACCTCTGGTATATCACATTCCTGTAGAGACAGAGACAGTGAATGAGCAATCAACATCAAGTAAGATATTGGTTTGATTTGGTTTGTTGTTAACGCCACACTCAGCAATATTCCAACTATATGACGGCGGTCTGTAAAAAATCGAGTCTGCACCAGATAATCCAGTGATTGATATCATGAGCATGGATCCACGCAATTTGGATCGATGACATGCATCAACCAAGTCAGCGAGCCCGACCACCCGATCCCGTTAGTCACCTCTTACGACAAGCATAAACGCCTTTTACGGCAAGCATGGGTTGCTGAAGACCTATTCTGCCCTGGGTCTTCACGGGTCACAAGTAAGATATAGCATTGGTGCATGTATTAAAGAAGTTGTTATCCATAAATTGTGTCTACTTTCTTGTAAATAATCAAGTCTGGACCAGACAATCCAGTGATTCTTATTGTGAACAACGATCCATGCAGTCGGGGTACAATGACAAGCTAATGAACGGAGTCACCAAGCCTGACAACTATTCCATTTGGTTGCCTCCTACAACCAGCATAGGTTGGTGGGTACCTATTCCAAACAGGAATCCCTACAGGTGTGTAAATAATCAAGTCTACTCCAGACAGCTGTGGTTGAGGATTTGGAGAGTATTAGCACTTACCACTGCCATTAGTGTATGATAATACACAAACATCTACAGCGATAGAAACTAACGGTTTTAGCCCACTAGTCCTAATAATTATAAAAATTAACACATAGCAAAACTCTTACATAGGGCAAATTTCTACTGGTCCTTATGATACCTAACTATTGTTTGTTTGTTGTTTAATGCTGCACACTGCAATATTCCAGCTATATGACGGCGGTCTGTAAATAATCAAGTCTGGACCAGACAATCAAGTGATTGACATCCTGAGCATCGATCCACGCATTTGGGATCGATGACATGCATCAACCATGTCAGCGAGCCTGACCACCCGATCCTGTTAGTCGCCCTTACAACAAGCATAGTCGCCTTTTTCGGCAAGCATGGGTTGCTGAACACTTATTCTATCCTGGATCTTCACGGGTCCCTTTACTATTGGGCAGTTTGGCAAGGACTATAGGACTAGAGCCAATTTCTAACGCTGAATCTAGGTCATAGTCATACACTGTAACTACTGATCCACCAATTTTGTACTCTCTTCATACAAGCATCTTTCGTCTCAATGCAACAGGTACAGAGTGAAAGTGGATGGATCTCAGTAACAGGATGCTGAAAACCCCCCAGCTGTATTGAAAGTTGGGAGCGAACAAGTTCAACTACTATGTTTTTTCAGAAAATTTGATTTGAACACCATGTTTGAACAGAAAGTAGGTGTTCTGCATTTACCATTCAAAACTAGGACCTGGGTACCCACAGGACAACCTGGACCTGGGGTTAGTCACTTGATATACCCGGTATAGTTTAAAGACAAAAATTATCATCAACTCTGTGAATACACAACAGGTCATGAATGTTCACATTTCTTTCGGACTATTCACGCATTCCTTCTGACTTTATTTTTGAATAAAGATAAAGCTTCAGTCAGCTTCAGTCAACTTCAGTCATGCATAACCAGATTGTTTTATAGTGTACCTAAATACTTTTTGTCAGGGCTCTAATCAAACAATTCCCTATTGGACATTTTATACCAATCTCTTGAGACCTACTGCAGGGTACCCGTGTAGGTTTGGGTAATAGGGGCTTGGGTGCTTGGTACCCTAGTACCACACATTGCTTTAATACAAGGCAGAGAAAAGGGTTCATTTATCTTCTATGAGTCACAAATGGCCTCATTTCATTAGCGTACTCAAAACACACATTCATGACTACTACACATCATAAAGACCTGTGAAGCACTGATGATGACATAGCCCAGGAGCATCCTAACAACCAAGTCCACATAAAGAATATATTTTTGTATCTTAAGGATACTTTTTGAAGCTTATTGTGCAAGGGTTGTTTTGATACACTACAAATAGAACTGAAAATATAAAAATCCATCAAGCTGAAACTTACTTGTTTGGTGGAACCCATCGTTGCTTTCCTCCATAGAAACCCCACACAAAGCTCTTCTCTGGCAGATTGCGTGGAAGTTTCTTGAAGAAGCCACCCCAGTTGTCCAGATCCACAAACAGAACAAGTTTCATCTCATCCAAGTTGTGAGGGTATGCTTCAAAGGACCTGGAAGAGCTGATAGAGTTAGGTCTGTTCGATGTTGATGCTCTCTCAGCATCCGATGCTGCCTGAGATCTGGATGCATCTGTAGAAGACATCAGTGTGTGACCAAGAGCCAAGTGCTGGGCTGATGACTGAGCACAATCTTTTCCCCCTTGGACACAAAATGTTGACAGATGAACGGGGTCAATCTTGACACGATGGGCAGATGATGATGAAGATGTTGATGAAGAGCTGGAGTGACCTTCTTTCAAAGGACCCGTGACATGGGACTTTGGCAAGTTACATTTGAAAGAAGAGGCCCATATTGGGGAAGTATCAGAGGTTCTGCTGGACAAGTGTTCTTTACGGGCCAATGAGGTGATGTAATCGGATGAAAGCTTTTCTTTCAAAGCAACCTGATGAGAGGATTGAAGATGCTCTGCTTTTGATAAACAAACCAGTTCCTCATTGGCTCGATTTTTATCGTTCCCATTGTTGTCTTTGCAGAAACTTGTATCATTATCGACAGAAACTTCAAATTCACTGGTCAAAGATTTTCCTTTCCTTGACTTAGATTTTTTGCCCTTCTTTGATTTCTTAGCACTTGATGATGACTTTTCATTAAGTTTACGTCTTTTACAAGCCGATGAAGTCAGGTTTAAGATCTCATCTTCACTGGAACTGGATATTTCGATTACATAGGACCTCTTTCTCCCATTATCAAGTTGACAAGAATCACTTCTTTCTGAAGATGTGGATACAAGACGTTGAGTATCTGTGCCTCCAGGAGTAGAAGATGCTGACATATTAAGATGAGTTTCCACATCTGCTGTGGTGGATGCTGAATCAAGATGCTGCATTTCCACAACACCTGGCGATGCTAATGCTGATGCTGATGCTAATGCTGATGCTGATGCTGATGCTGATGCTGGTGCAAGGCTATGAAGGTCCACATGTCCTTGAGAAGTTTCTGCCAATCCTGAAGTAGAAGGTTCTGTTGGACAGGGAGAAGGATCCAAGCTAAGAGGCTGAGTTTTACCTGGTCCTTCTGTATACAATGTTTGTACATTAGGACTCACATGGAGTGTATGCCCACAGCGAAGTACAAACTCATTGAAGGAGTTAAAGTTAAGGTTGGTGCTGACTCCCTGCATGCCAGTTACACAATTATGGATTCCATCAGAAGGTGGGGTGTGTAAGATCTGTAGGCAGGTATCACAGGTTTTGTCTCCTAGGTACTCCGCAAATATTTCAACCTGCAAAAGGTTGGATGAGAATACACAATAGCATTAACAGATTGATAGAGTGAACTTGAAGAGAAAGAGGGTCAGTGAAGAGAGAAAGACAGAAACAGAAAGATGAGAAAGAGAGAGAGGAGAAAGAGAGTGAGAAATTTGTAAGAGGTTTTGTCTAATATATCTCCTTTTGATATATGATTAATATTGATGCTCTTACCAGGTTACAGGTGGATGATGATGTGAACATGTGCGTCTCCTCCATCTCCCGCCGGTGCTGATCCAACTCCTGCTGACTTCCTACCACCACCTGACACTCCACACAGGTCAAGGTGAAGGTTGGACATCTGGCCTTCACCTTCTGGATGAAGTCACGCGCCAACTCTAATGTCACTGGCACAGTCCTTGGACATGATGATGGATTACTGTTGAGGTCATCTGAAAATATCAGGTCTCTATTATAGCACAGATGGTATTATTGAAGAGGATACTTTAACATCAGTAAAGCCAGACTTTGATAGAACTCACTTCATTAAGTTTGTCACAGACAATCTGTCAGATCTTTTAATCATTCTTATAATAGATCTATCCTAATGGGATGTTGTTGAGTCAGATCTGTTATGACACTCTTAGAGGCAATAATGAGCTCCAGTGAGTGTGTTTTTTTAATGCCACACTTAACACTATTCCAGTTATATCATGGCGTCTGTCGGGTTAATGTGGGAAGGAAGCCCAAAGTGACGCAGGTCGGATGTTTACTACTTTGGTGAAACCCACAAGCATGGGTATGATGCTGACAAACCTAGAAATATAATTGGGGCGAACTGGTATTTGAACCAACGATATGTATTTTTTAACGTAAAAATATCATTTATACTTACCCTGCCTTATACTTATTGCTTATCTCATCTCATTTCCGAAAGTAAGTTGAAACTTCCAGAACAGTGTTCCCGGAGAATTTGTAATAAAACGGATCTTACTTCTCTAAATGAATCAAATCACGTGAGCACCTTGATTAAAAACATTAAAAGATGTGGAAACTATCTGTGGATGCTAAGGTTTGGGTACACATGCTTTGCAAATTCTGCAGTCGTCCGAACTGCATGTTCCATGTATGAAGCTTGTAGAGATCCGGTCTTGGATGAACTTTGATCTGTGTGAGGACCAAGAAGAAGATTTGTCCATCTGATCCTTTGAATCCTGTACTACTTCTTTGTTGATATTCCTGATCGAAGATGGATGTAGATTCCCTGGATTGAGGGCTTCGTGTAAAGGTCTGACCAATGAGAATTGGTTATTAGGCCTCAACATTGTAGTAGAGTAAGTCCGAGACAAATTCTTCATATTTCTTCTGACAGACCATTTTGCTGACAGAAGCATTCTCTCTCTGGTCTGTGGTCATCAGAATGTAGTCCTCATCTATGTCCGGAGCCAAGAGGAAAGGCATCAAGCAGGTGAAATATCCTGGGGTGAAACAGAGGAGTACGTAGACCCTGTGTTCTTGTAGCCTTGGCAAAGGAACCGTTCAGGTTCTTTGCCACTTGTGAAATGGGTGTAATTGGCAGAACAGCAGTGTTGATATTGTCTACTTTGATACAATAAGTATCAGAAGGGGACAAGTCTCTGGCTGGTGAAGAGAAGGGAAGTCTGTCTGTGATCCAGGTCATTAACTCGTGGTCTTTATGGATGGAGGTATGGCTCAGGCTCAATCATATCCTTGTCCTGTAATAGGTACAAGGCGTCAGGGTTTGGAGCCGTAACAAAACTCTGAGATTTTTCTTCGGAAAGTCTGGTTGATGGGGTGGTCTGCGTGGAGGGCTGTGTGATACTACCTTTTAAATATTAACTAGATGATGTAGTAGGCTTGAAGAACGTAGGCTGTGTAAACGTTGAAGGACGCGTGAAGGTCTGAGGCTGCATGCAGGTATATGGCTGCGCTAGGCTGGTAGTTCATGTTGTCGGCTGCATGTTCTGTACTTTAGCAGCTGGCTTCGTTGACCCATTCATGGATAACACGAATTGCTCATGTGCTGGTGTGCATGCATGGCTTAGCAGTGCGTTTGGGTGAGCTGTTTTTCTGTTCTCCGGGAACACTGTTCAGGTTTCCACTACCTTTCGGAAAGGAGATAAGTAATGAGCATGAGTCAGGATAAGGTAAAATCATGGGTTTCTGGCGAACCCAAGAGGTGCAACTCTGCACAGCAAACTGCAGCACCTAGACGATCAGGAAAGTCATATGACATTGCTAGCTAGTTTTGACAAGAGGATTTGTTCTCATTTTTATTGAGCAAATATTAATGCTTACTGCAACATCAGCATATTTATAGCTATTTGCATAACCAACTAAAATGCCACTTCTGACTGGCACTTAAATATCCATCCAAACTTTCATCCCAGAATGACCACAACCTGACCGTCAAGATCATCTCACCACTGAAGGGGTAGGCCACCTGGAAGTGGAGCAGTTCCTCCATGTGGTTGTGACAGCGCATCTTCTCCGGGAAGAAGAGCAGGCACTGAGGACACATGTAGGCACACACAGGCAGCGGGAGGTAGAGACTCAGGTGGTCCGACATCACCATGTGCTCTTGACAGTCGATGCTTCGCTGAAACATACTGAGGTCCTCATGAGGTGGTCAGTGTTACTGCATCACAGGCACGAAACCTGCTTCTCTTTACCACTGATTATTTTATGTTCACAAATACAGTAATATACCAGAAAACCTTCATTTGAAGTGAGTTGAATGAATGTTATTTCTGATGCAGGCAGCAATGTTTCAACAATAGTACAGCTGTTTGTAAATAATAGAATATTGCTAGCAACAACAATCCTAATAAAATCCTAGATATTTTTTTATTTGTATACTTAGCCTGCATTACTCCTTAAACCCATCCTTGCTGTAAAAAGTGACTTTAGTTGTCGTAAGAGGTAACTAACAGGATCGGGATCTAGCTGACTTGGTTGATGCATGTCACCGTATCCCAATTGCATGGATTGATGCTCATGATGTCAATCACTTGATTGTCTTGTCCAGACTCGATTATTTACAGACCACCATCATGTAGCTGGAATATTGCTGAGTGCAGCGTTGAACAAGAAACAAACAAACCATAATGCATCTATTGCTGGATCTGGACAGAGAGAAAGAGCTGTGTGAGGTCTTGCTGAAGAAGAAGAAGTTGTTTCAACTAGATGAGTGGCCAACCCTATCACTGAGCTCCCATGTGACCACGGAAGTGATGATGTCACGGATCAGCACATTACTGATTAAAAACCGGAACATCTGAAGGCATCGTGGAGAGGTAGCTCTGAGAGGGACGGGTCACTTTAGACGTAGCAATGCAGGATAAGTATCCAAAATTAAAAACCATTTACTAGATTCTTTAACTTATCCTGCATTACTCCTTACTGCATCTGAATCAAACGGATCGGTGGAGGGCATACTTCAGAAGTGATCTTCGATAAAACTTTCCAAAACCCTCAGCCAATCAGCGAATGTGATGTCTGGCATTGAGCGACCATTCCTGTTGATAGGGAGGGAGAAAGTTAGGTTTACGTGAAATCCAGGAATCGATGCAGTCATAGAAGATAAATGAGATTAAAATCTTAAACAAACGTACTCAGCCTAATGCGTGTAGCATGTAGCCTTCTAGTCAGAAGTGACACTCACCAGAGAGGTCGCAAAGCCAGCTCTGGATATGTGGAAGCACCAATGGCGCTTAGTAGCGGTGACCTGCTGGACCTAAAGGGTGAACGCCTTCCACATAGTGGCTGGCAAAGATGGTGTCTGAATGCCAGAAACAGCCCTCCATAATGGCGCGTCTAGAGCAGTTGCTCTCAAGTGATTGCCCGGATCTCATGTTGGTTGATGGCTCTCGGAGGATCCAGTCCCACAGCCTCGAATACCTGAAGGATGTTGTCTGAAGGATGATGAAGCCAGGCGCTGGTGTTGCGGCTGAGTTTCGCCTGCGGTGTCGTCTATACCGGTATTCTCAGTAGGGTGAGGGCTACGTTCAGATCCCAAGCTGGAGGTCTAAACTTAGCCTTCTGGTCCAGGTCGGACTTGGAGTTCCGGTTTCTTCGTCATTTTCTGATCTTCTGGAACTGCCGGAACTGCCAAAACAGAGTTGAGGGCCACAAGGTATGTTGTGATAATGCTTCCTTTCAGACGATGCTTGTGATGCAGGAAGAGAAGAAACTGTGAAGAGTTGGGTTTTTTCCTTGCAAACACTTTCAAAGGAGCGCCACTTACTGTCATTCAGACATCTGGTAAACGGTCTATGTGCCAATGTAATAGCTCTCGCTGTCCTAGCAAGGGAATCCTTGGCACTTAAGGCTATTTGTAGATGGAGCACACGTGTAGATGTAACCTTTCTGGTCTGGGTGTGGCCGTTTGCTGTGCGGATGAATCAGTAGATTCGGCCAGTCTGTGAGTTGGAGAGGATCGTTGGCGGCTATCTCTCAGAGATGACAAACTATCTCTCACTGGCCACCAGGACACGTCCAAAGTCAGATCAAGGCTCTGCGTCTGGTGGCAAATCGGTCTATGTTTGGAAGTCTGTGGCAAGAGAAAAACAAGAGTGAAGACTTCTTCCACTCAGTGGGTGCAACTCTGTCAGGCCTAGAGTTGGCATCTGCCAGGATGTTGCGACAATCCGGGATGTGTTGGACCCGGAAATGGAATTCCAATTGATCAACCAGGTTGAAGAATCCGAAAATTAGCTGTAGAAGCGAGTGGGAGTGGATTGTTCCCTGAATCTGGAGACACCAGACGATGGTGATGTTGCCCGTTTAGATGATCAGTGTGCGCTGGAGTCTGCTTCCAGTGTGAGAGAGCCAGTATGAGCGCCTCCAGTTCCAAGGTGGTTGATATGCCATTGCTGTTGAGTGTCTGACCACAGCCCCGAGGCGACTTAACCCTCCAGGTGCGCTCCCCATTCTTGAAGAGAGGCGTCGATGAATAGGTGTAATGAGGTCGTAAACTCTGTCAAGGAGATGCCGTCTAAGGCATTCGATTTCACCGTCCACTAACAGAGATGAGGTTTGAGGCGGTCTGGGAGGATGATAGACACCAACTGGTGTTGGCGCCTGATCTTGGGGACAAGAAACATCTGTATCGGGCGCAGTTGGCGCCTCCATCTAGAGGTCAGGTCCTGCGCTGATGTGAGGAGACCCAAGAGTGCCTGCTACTGGCACAGAGTGCGTGATTGGTGGAGTGCAGGAAGCAGGTGTATTTGGTGCCACCTGTCCCTGGGTACAGAGAGGAGGTCTTGGTCAGATTTAAGCGGCCTCCGATGAATTGGAGACGGAACGAAGATTGATCATCAATCCCAGTTGGAGTAGGAGACGTTGTGTGACAAAGGAGTGAGGCCATGTTTGCTGGCCAAGGAGGCCATAGAGATTGTACAGTCCTTAGCCATAACACCAGGCTTATATTCACCATATTCTTTGTCCCAAAGAAGGACTCGGACCAATTCCGAATGTTCCACAATCTCGCCACCTTTAACAAGCACTACTTGGCTCATCCACAGTACTTGCGGATGACCACGCTCAGGCTTCTCCGGTCCAGGACACAGGCTCACGACTCTCTCATCAGCCTGGACATCAAGGGAGTCCACTATTAGGGGGCAGTGCTCCCATTGGAATTTCCTCGGCTCTGTTGCTATTTACACGCATTACCAAGCCAATAGCCTTCTTCCTCCACATGAAGAATGTCCAATTCGAGGCATATATAGATATGTCAATGTTCGAGCTAAGTAGCTGCTGTTGAGTAGGGGGATAGGCGTCCTTGTCTCCCACCTACTGGGATTTCAACATTTGGAACGATGTTTGTGATCCTTTTCACTTTCAGTTATGCATGGCTTTATATTGTTTAGTTTACGGATATATTTTTTAACAAAAGATCTATTTTTTGTTTTCAGGTGATGCCAGGTGTGCAGTTAAGAAAGTCACATTGGTCTTGCAGTTCAAAGTATTGTAGGCTTTATTTATACATTGTGTCAATGGTAGTTTACATTTGGCAGAATAAAAACACAGTTAAGGGTTGTTGCATTGATATTTTTCTGAAATCTTTGAAGCAGATTTTTTCAAATGTTCCTCTATTTCTTTTGACTTTTATGATGGTGGAACATTTTCTTGTGACTGAACATTTTCTTTTTACAACAATCATAGGACAAAGATTTTCTGATGACTTGTTTGTTGATTACCAACATACTCAGCAATATTCAAGCCATATGACGGCAGTCTGTAACTAATCAAGTCTCTGGACCAGACGATCAATATTGAGAGCAACAATCCATATGATTGGGGTACGAAGACAGAAATTCAACCAAGTCACCAAGCCTGACCACCTGATCAATAAAGTCGCCTCTTACGACCAGACCAGCTGAGGAGCAATTCTAATCCCTACAAGTTTCTGATTATTGGAGCTATAATGGAAAAATTCACCTGGAAACTTTCTCCACACTTTGGGCACACAAAACTTAGAGGGTGATCTGGCAGGCAGCCATTGGGCATGTGTAGCAGGGGGTTGCAGGGGGAATGTTCAAAATGGCGTTCATGCATTTCATGATCTTGTTGACTCGTGAACTTGACTTGACAACCAATGATCGGACAGGTCTCGGAGTAGTCATTGGCATTGTTGGAGACATTTAGCCTGGGAGGTGCTAGGATTCGTTGGGAACGGGTGTTACTTCTGTCCACAGTTTCGATTTGTCGCAAAACTTGGCGCTGGCGTTCAGTCATCAGTGGACGTTGTCTACCTGAAGTATTGAAAAGTATGGAAAACTGAAAATAGTGAGTAATGGTTTAGGACCACTTTCAACAGTATATCACATATATCATGGCGTGTCAGCTTGATGTGAGAGGAAAGCATGAAGTGATGCAAGTCTTCAAACCAAATAACACAATCAAGGTCAGTCTGGGATTCAAACTCACAAACATAGATTTCAGGGCCCCGTTTCACAAAGCGATCTTAGCGCTATGACAGTTGTAAGTTTAAGCTAAAGTATGGGAGTTACAATCACCTTAGGGCTATGATCGCTTTATAAAACAGAGCCTTGGCCTGCAGCAAATTATGTATAAAAGATACAACAGGGCCTTTGATAAAACATCTAAATGCAAATGGCAAAAAAAAGACATTTTGTTAGTGTCTGTTAAATTCTGATGTAGGGTTGAGAAATATTTTGATAACACAAAATAATGTGAGTAGACCTCACTATTTTTCTTGGCCCAGGATTCAGCCACATGCCGTGCTCGTTGCAGCTCATACGGAGATGACAGATTGAGCTTTAGATACAGAGAGTGCGCTTTCTCAGCTTCTTGTCTATTCCTCAAACGTTCAATCTGTAAAAAAATATGTAATGATTGTATCACATAATATGCTTACCTCTGATCATGCTAATCAAAGTGAATGAGAGAGTGTTAATGACACTTTGCATAGTATTTCAGTTATATCACGGCAGTCAGCTTGATGAGGAAAGAGGTCTGAAGCAATGCAGGTCATAGACATTAACTCCTTTAGTGAAACACGAGAAGGGGTATGGTGCTCACAAATCTAGAAATCTAGGGTCAATCTGTCATTAAATCCCACGATCATAGGTTTCTGCCAAACCAAAGAGAGAACTCTGTACAGTGAAATGTGGTACCTTAGATGATTTGGCAATCCATATGAAGTTAGTTATTCATTCATTACCCTTTGGAGTGAGTGAGTGAGTGAGTGAGTGAGTGAGTTTTAGATTTTACGCCGCTTTCAGCAATATTCCAGCAATATCATGGCGAGGGACACCAGAAATGGGCTTCACACATTGTACCCATGTTGGGAATTGCACCCGGGTCTTCAGCGTGACGAGCGAACACTTTAGCCACTAGGCTACCCGACCGCCCCTATTACCCTTTGTAGCCTTTGTTTAAATTCTCATACTACTAGATATTACGTTTACAATACGAATATTCTCAGTTTAAACATATAAAGACACAGTTGCTTCAGCATTTGTTCAGCGGCGTTGAGTCTACTTCCTGATTTATCATGACTATACAGGGGTACAGGTGGCCCAGTCGTCTGAGGCTCCTCAAAATTGCTATGCTGAGTTGGGCATACCAGAAACCTATGATTGTGGGTTTGAATCGCAGTTCGCCCTGATTATGTCTCTAGGTCTGTCAGCACCATACAATGCTTGTAGGTTTCACCAAAGTGGTAAACATTTGAGACGTGCATCACTTTGGGCTTTCCTTCCACATTAAGCTGACATGATATAACTGGAATACTGCTAAAAGTGACGTTAAAACCCACTCACTCATGTCTATACACACCCTAGTAGTGTACAGACAGCACCAGCCTTTTACAGCTTTACAGATATAAGTCATCTAATCCCAACAGCAAGTTAGAATCACTCTGTATTGTCCAAACCGACTTGTCCTCAAACCACACTTGTTTATCTTTACTCATCAGAGAGTTTATAATACTTAACATATACTACAAAAAGAATTTAAGGACCATTCGATTCTTTCATATTGCTACAGTAATATAGTACGCCATGGCTGATATACTAGAGTACCGTATTCGACCTAATAAGCGCCTAGGGTGCTCTCAAAACTAGAAATAGGGGGCTCTTATTAGAATATTATTTTGGTGAAAAAAAAACAGAGTTGAAAGATACATTTTGTGGTTTATGCGGACAGCCTGAAATGTTTATATTCAACAGATATATTTTTCCAGAATTTAATTGCCAATAATAAAGGGTGCATATAACACACGAGGGCGTATTATATGCGAATAGGGGTCAGACGGGGTGCTAATTGGGATTGTTCACTAGGCAATATATTAGCAAATCTCGCCGTGGGCGCTTATTATAGCGGGGCACTTATTATGTCGAATATGGTAATATGAAAGAATTGGGTGGTTGTTTAGTTCTTTTGAGTGGTATATACGTCATGGAATATGGTGATACCTCATTGCATCTAAAACAAAACAAAAACTGACCAGGTAAGGATGTCACATGTGGGATGACTCCGTGGACTGCTACATATGCACCCACCAACATAAGGCATGTCAAATATAATATGCATGTACACAGCCCTACAATGGGCACCAATGTCATTTTAGCAGTCATAAGTCACAAGGACATGTCCACTTTGTATCACCAAGTCACACAAGTTTGATTGACATGTAACTTCGATCGGCCATTTTGAATCATATTTCTCGCGATATGTAACGAGAAATTATGTTACATGCAGCTTTGATCTTCTGGCAACACCGCTTTTGTTCGCTTGAAACGGAAAATGCTTAGTGTCAAGTTACTTAACGTAAGTTATAGCTCATATTCAGCAAACAACTACTTTTTAACCCGAGATCACTAATGTAACTTTATCAGCTCAAATAAAATGTCAATTGTAATAAATTCACACATTGTAAATCGATGACACACCTATCGTCTGCTTGTTCACTTTCATGGTGTAAATGTCACATGATCAGACATGTGATGTGCTCGCCAAAATTTAAAACTATGGAATAAAGTAAAGGTCATTTTTTATTGAAAACTTTATGCTTTTTGAGAACTTGTCTCTGTAGTTTTGATGATATATAAAATTAAGCTTTATTTTTACAGTTTTGACCAATGGTGAACCAACCAGAAGAGGCAAATATAGGCAATATTTGTCTGCAGCCCTAGACAAGGCATATAAAGCTGTTTTGGGTGGAATGGCAATTTAAAAAGCTGCCATTACCTTTCCTGTTCCATTTGCTACACTTCATGACAGGATTAGTGGGAAAATTTCTATTGAATGTAGTACCACTGGTAGAGAACCACTATTGTCCATAGGAAAAGAACAGGGACTTGTTTCACATATTGATGCCATGGCAAATTTTGGGTATGGCTATACTAGGGCTGAGGTTACTACTATTGCCACAGGCGTAGCAATATATGTTGGAAAGAAGTCAAAGGATGAACAACCCCTATCACTTCAGTGGTTCTATGGGTTTATAAAAAGCGATGGTCTGATCTACGAACTCTGCTGCAAATGTAACTAATTTGTACCTGATGAGGTTTGAGCTAGTGTCTCATTGATCATTACAACCTGGGTGCAATGAACACACCCTACATGTCAGCGCTTGACTCATTTATGTTTCTGCACACCAGTTTGGGTTGTGCGTCGACATTCTGAGTTTTGGTGCACCTGTCACAATGAGCCTGAAGAATAACTCCCTGCATCAACCTTGTAAATAAGTTGGATTTTTGTGACTTTTCATCGTCTTTTTCAATATTACTGTATTTCCTTGAGTATAGTGTGCTTCCATGTATAATGCGCACCGCCCTCTAGCGGATTCAGTATTTTGGAATATTTTGTTTTTTTAATATTATGCTCAGAAAAAAATTACACGGCACCCCTTCAGCAAATTTTGGTTAACAAACTGGTGATAATAAAGTTGGTCAGTACAAATTTGAAATTTGAGATAAAAAAAAATAGCCAGACATGTTGATTTACCTTTTAAATTGTATTTTTTGTTCTGCTAGGCATTGTTTTAATCCAGGGATTAAGATTACCTTGTGTATTTTCTAGTAAACTAAGCCGGAAACAGCAAACAGCTGTGCATGCATTTTCTTGGAATCTATCGGTGATTCAGTTAAAACTTACCCAATGATATAACTATACAGGAATTTGAAGCATGGATCAGGAAAAATTGTATCTGAAACAATTTTCATTATACTCAAGAACAGGGGTCCGGAAAATTTAAAATCCCAATCGGACATTTGCATTTAGGCCACGCCCCCTTCAAATAGCGTATTTTAGGATGACTTTTCACACACATTACAAGTTGTTACGTATTCATAATATGATGAATTATGAATTGTTTCAATTTAAATTGTTTAATTCACCGGACAATTAATAACAAATAATATCATTGGAAAACATACGTTTGTTTCTGTTATAATAACGATCTGTTAACGTAGTGAACGGTCTAATTAATATTCATGAGTTACATTCATGAGTCTGCTCAAGTGTACGCGTTGTAACATTTGGATCGAGACTATTATCCCATATTTGGTTATCACGTGACCTCACGGGAAAAGTTTTTTTTAAAACTAAAGATTATTTAAAAACAAGACAGATAATATAATCACAAATACTAAAATATCGTTGATAGCAATAGTTATTTGAATACTTTTTTCATCTGTACTTAATTATTGACCATAAAAAAATGATATCGATCATCACAGAAAGCAAAATGGCGGTCAATCAAGATTCAATATACGACTAGCTACTGAAAACAATAAAATCTGCAAATCCTCATTGTATGTCAACCAAGTGAAAGTCGTTAGCCACGACTTACAAATGATCATCCAGGCTTTGAGCGTTTGGCAGATCCGCTCGACTGATCTGCATCGGTCGACTGGCTGTCGTCACGCTTTCACTTCTTGTCTTGAGGTTACGTATCGTAGCATTGTGAGGATAATGAGGTACATTGATGATGCAAGGTATTTATGTACAGTTGTAAACACCTTTCACTCAAATTAACAAGATGTTCTCAGTAATTAATCCTCGATTAATCAGTGTCAACTCAGTTTATTTTTTTGTGTGCCTACAACAGTGATTGACCGATTGGACTATCATGTAGGTACGATGTATTTACAGCAATCAAAACAAACAAAGCTTGTCAGTGTAGATAATCTTCATTGTGTTACAACTGCAGACAGAAACTGCTCAGTCCTAACTGTTGATCATGTCCGGTCAAAATTTAAGAATGTCTGGACAATACTTTTTAAAATGTCCGGACAGAAAAATTTAAATGCCCGGTAAGCAATATTGTAAACCGGACATTTGAGATTCCCAATCGGACATGTCCGGTGCATAAGACAGTTTCCGGACCCCTGCTCAAGAATATATGGAAAAGAATAAATTGAACATTTGATCAACAAAGATATCATAAAACAACTGTGGACTGTTCTGATTCGGATTTTGACTCAAGCAATCGTCCATACATGTCATCCTGACAAGTCAGCCAATCAAATGATCAAACTTGTGAGACATAGCTTTCTGGGTCACTTCTGTTGACAGTGAGAGGTCGGCCATAACGCGAGTGTCAATTTCAGTGGAAATACCTGAATTTCAGAATTTTTTGTCATAAATAAACAACTTTACAGGTAAGATATTTGAAAATAAAGATAATATGAATATTACTATGAATATTCAGCGACTTTTCATAAGTGATCCAACTTCCATGACACGAGGATACATCATCTGAATTTGAATTCCGTAGATATCTGATATCTTACGCGTTCCTCTCTTTCCCTCCTGTTCTGCTCAAACCTGCCAGACACAGATTCCAGCAGAGGAAATCTTGGCGATGGTGCATCATCATTGTCGTCCTTTCGGGATTTTCTGTTCATAGGGCTTTGAATCTGGAGCAAATATGTGAACAATATTTAGTTTGGACATTTTGTATTCAGACAAAACAAACCCCTGGGGAGTGACTGAGTTTATCATGTTTATAGTAATATTACAAGAATGACACAGTGGGGGACATTAACAATGGATTTCACAGATTCTACCCATATCAGGAATTACCTGATTAGGCCTACCTGCCACAACATGCTTTGAAATAACGATATTTAATGACTAGGCTACCTTCACAAGATCATGTTTGACAAAACATCCTTATGATACATGGATACACATACTGTCAGTGCATGGTCATGATATGTATGCAAGTGTCATGTTGATAGGCATGTTAAAATTTTAGTTATTTATGCAAAAACATGATAAACATGTTCCATACCATCTCACTCTCTGTCACATCAATGATCTCCACAGAGCTGTCAAATGACGCCATTCTTCAATTCCTATGCCAATCTGAAATATGGAATATAACTTAAGCATGCCTACCGATGAAAACCAGCAGACAGCAACATCAAATTTAAATATATTTAGCCACACAAATTACAAGACACAATCCCAATAAAGTTTGCATCGTAATCTGGTAATGATTACACACATCTATTCGCTTGTGTATCATCTGGACAAGTAAGTTTCTTGACATAATCATAGGATAGACATGAACACCCGCTGTAACGTCATTCAAATTAAATGACATAATTAAATAAATACATTAAAGTCGCATATTCAGTCAATGTTAACATAGATTACTTACCATCTGCTTACGGTTCTGGCCAAACGACGTCAAATTTTCCCGGTTCCTCTAAATTCAGGAAAATCTTCCTGCGAAATTTTCAGAAATTACAAACATCTAAAACGAAATACGAATATTGAAAATAATACTTTGCAAACAGCAGCAAAGTAAATTGGTTAACACTGTTTAAATTACATGTTTTTCTTTATATCCAAGGAAACATAACTTTTTCTAAGAAATAATATAGCACCGTGATAACACTCTGAAATGTGGAGTTCGTCCATGTGCCTGTGTAGAGGTAAGATCTACATTTGGTGATGGCCTTGTCAGATGTGGAATCGACACAGAGGACACCATACATGAAACTCGGAGTGTAACAAAAATATTCCAACGATTCTTAAAATATTCTTAAAGTGTAAAACTGATAGAGAGCTTATATGAGACTGGCAATATGTGGTTTCTCAACTAAAAAGTTCTTGAGAAAATATGTCAAATACATTTCCCGGGATATAATATTATATCCTTTCTCTTTATAACAACTTTTGAAAAGAATATATCTGGAAAAACACGAATAACATCATTCATAAGTTGATTAAAATATGACTATTATCTAAAAATCATTTTACATGAAATTAATGCCACATTCACTAGTATTTCGTATTTTAATATAACCTCGGTTTTAACCCGGACTGGTCCGAATGATGTCTAAAATATTGTTTTTCTTTGAGGAGAGTTACTTCCGGAAAAATCCAGTGGGTGTCTGCAACAGCAACTGTCCAATCTGCACGTACCAGGTTAAGCGAATGGTGTATACGTTGTTGTGCTAATTTGGTGCCATAGTGTGCAGACATAAGAAGACGTTCTACTGTGCAGGTGCGAGGTAACTGATGCAATGAGGATCACCCAGTGGAGTGCCGTCTGAAATTATTACTGGGCTAATTTCCTAACCAAAGCCCTAGGAACACGAGGAAGTAGATACGCTAGTCACTCGTACAAAACTAATTGCACACACCAGAGGCGGAGCTTTGCACGGATATATTTGGAGATTCATTTGTCTTTTGAACAAGTCCTATGTCAATGATTAATGTAATACAATGTAATATTGACCAACCATTGACCAGAAATCCCAGGCAATGAACCTAAATTCATGTGGACCTACTCAACTGCTTCGCATACCAATACCTCTAGCAGGAAATTAATCAGCATCAAACCCAATGTTATAGGTAGTTTGTTTTTTCTATCCACATCATCGATTCTTAAATATTAACTGGGGAATACTGCACTTTACGGGAGGCACTTTTTTATATTAAAGTAGCGCCGTGCACAGGATAGAACTTGTGTTGCCAGCTAGAAGATAAGCAAGGCTAATGACTTTTTTTAACCAACACTTTACCACAGTATCACAGATAATTTGTGCTTGTTTACCAAGTGATCAGCAGCTGATGGTTTCTTTGATGTACTTGCTGAGTTGTCAGTTTTCTCTGGTGATACACGAAACTTGATAAAAACTGTAAGGATTTTTCTCAAATTAAAGCGGTAGTCTTGCTATTAACTGGCTACCACTTTTCATGTTGATGATAAACTGTGTGGACATTGTGAAACGATATACCGGTGCATCATGAGTTTTCATGTGACAATATGATACATGATATGTTATTTTCTATATCAATGCAAGATGATACACTTGCAAAAATATATTATTTACTATTGACCCCTTCCCTGCCCTGTTTTTTTTGTCAGTCAAATATCGCAAAATGTTTTGTTATTAGTATTTCAAGTTCACTGATAAGAATAGCCACTATGAACATGGGTCTACAGCTAACTTTTCCTTTGGATCCTACGCTAAAATGTTTATGGTCAAGAACTTTCAGCATGATTTGACGTGCATATGCATCATGATGCATATCACGATACATATCGTGACCTGTGTATCATGATACATATCATATTGTGACCTTCCTGTAAACTACAGCACAGTTTCATATAAACATTTAATAAACCCAAACTATCTGCTTAAAGCTGGAAACTCAATGCTATTGTGGCATTCAGAAATTTGGATGTAGTAGTCGCTGATTTGTGCCACAAATCGGATAGCTGAATAATAACTGAATGTCAATGTTGTATCTATTTGCAGGTGAAACACAGCTTTGACAAGATACCTCTCCTAAAAGTCATCACAGTTTGAAATGCCATGCGTCTCATAACAGCACTCATATCTGGAATTACTTCAAGAAATTCAGTCTTCATCCATCACAGCATGTTCAGTTAGCACTGATAAGGACTGATGAGCACCAAACACATTCTGAAAAAGCTGTCCACATTTCCAATGAGGGAAGACTGGGGCTCACAAGTAGTCAACAGAGAGGCTCTTGTTTTTCTCTGTATCAACTATGCATTCTTCTCAGTGGTGGTCCTCACCTTCGTCCTCTTCATGATTGTCCTCACGCACACGTCTTCCACTGATGATGACCTGTTGACGTCAATTGCGATAATGACCACTTGCTTCATCCTGATAGATTTAATTGTTGCCAATTTCCTTGTGCATACCATGCAGATGAATATGGAAATAAAGCTTTTGTTATGATGGCACCTACAATTCATCAAGAGAAAATGTGTTCTCTACATAACATGGTGTATGCTCCGTAGCAAAACATTGAAGCCTTATCTTCTTAAGACTGCAAAGCATAATGATGTCACTACTTTATCTGCTTTGTCCCTGTAAAAATTTGCTTTTGAGACAGACAATTTAATTCCCTTAGAGTGACACTTGAGTGTGAATCATGGCGACAGGGAAAGGTCCCCCCAAATTAAAGTTGACAGGAAGCAACATGAATTCAGGAGTTGTGCAGGTGCCGACATCTACAGATATTGGACTGAGTGGTGATTTTGAGCCTCCTACAACTCCACTGAGTCCCAGTTCAGCTTTCTCAACATCAAAGATTTCCGATATATCTCAGAGTTACATTGACACTGTGCTGCTTTGCCACTGGGACAATATTCTTGGTCCGCGCCTTGAGCATGTCTGGTATGTCGACGGATGCTCCAAGCCCCATAACACCACTCTACGTCACATATGTTCACAGGTTTTGAGCGGAGAAATCTGCCGAGATGTCTCCTGTAGCCAGATAGACTATAAGTTCTATGATATGCCTGACAAGTCTATAGTTGTGCCAGCTTTTATATTCTCTGCTCAGACCGATCATGGCTTAGGGATGCATGCCATAGCATTTGTGGTGCCCAACTCTGAACTTAGTATATACTTGAAGCATCATGGGCTTATACTGTGTTGGATGACAAGACTCATCGGCAAGTTTAGGATTTTTCTGAACAGAGTAAGATATTGTGTTTATATCCTAATTTTTATGTGCAATGAGCAATGTAGGAACTAGTTGTTACCATGGTTACATTGGTGCCTGGGTACACAGTTTATGAGTTGAGTAAAAGCATAACAACAGCCCCCAGCATGTAGTCTTTCAGATTATGGCATTTATACCCACATGCTTATATCATTGCTCTTTTATATCGTAGGCTCTGGTCAACAGTTTCAGTTGTCAGTCCTAGTGAATGTGATGTAAATCATTCAACATGTTCACATGCCACTTTGTATTGTATGTCTGCTAACTCAAAAATTCAACTACCGTATTCGACGTAATAAGCGCCGAGCTCTAATAAGCGCCCACTGCGATATTTGCTAATATATTGGCTTGGGAACAATCCCATTTAGCACCCCTTCCGATTAATCAATGTACACAAGACTTATTTATTCGCGTAACCTTGAAGTTGTAAATACGTAACTTGCCTGGTCTAACCTACATGATGTTCTGCACATGGTATGTCATTGTTGTTATGGTTATTCTTCCAACAGAACCAGTGTGACAATGGACTGAATGAATTCACACTGTGGCTTCAAAACCTCCTGGAGATGTTGTCGTCGCTTCAAGAATTTGGGTTGCCAACAACTGTCCAGGTTTGTTATGGAAATAACATTGTTAGCATGGCTGAATTTTGTAATGATGCATTAAGGATCTTTGCTCAGGTTCCACATGATGTTCTCTAAGACCAAGAGGTGAGGTGAAATGGGATTTATGCGAGATTATTGCAGTTACATAGCGATATGCCTATACATATCTGTGTGTGGCTGCTTGTCCTATTTCGGATTAATGCCAATTTTATAGTGCTAGCCCACTGAGATACCATGCCACAGTTTGACTCAGACACAGTATACTGACTCGGTTCTTGTTTTATCCACTTAATGCTAAACACCAGGCAGGGTAATAACAAGTACCATCTTTTAAAGTCTTCTAGTAGTAGTATGATGCAGCTGGGAGTTGAACCACAGACATTCTGCTCACTGGGCAGATGCTCTGTCTACTTGACCCCGAGGAGGTCTCATATCATATAACCTGTAAAATAAATCAATGGTTAAAGAAAGAAATCTATTAACATTTATCATGCTGATACCTTCAATTTTGTTAACCCTTTTTGTATTTTGATATTTGATACATTGGTTATGACCACCAGCTGGCTCAGCTAATTTGCATATCACATGACCAGATTTTTCTCTTAATTGTAAACAAACACGTTAGTTCTAAAATCTGAGCGATCTGCTCCAGCGGAAGCCTTTCAGTGCTATTTTCAGATTGTTTTGCACAAGTATTATGTTATGCTGCAACTGCGACAGTGAGGATTATGACGATATATGTATACACATCAAAATGACCATAGTACTAGCTTACCAACATTTATGTCTGCAAATGGAACCCAAAAACCAATGATTGGTTGGTTTGTTGTTTTGCGCTGCACTCAGCAATATTCCAGCTATATGACGGCAGTCTGTAAATAATCGAGTCTGGACCAGACAATCCAGTGATTAATATCATGAGTATGGATCCACGCAATTGGGATCGATGACATGCATCAACCAAGTCAGCGAGCCTGACCACCCGATCCCGTTAGTCACCTCTTACGACAAGCATGGGTTGCAGAAGACCTATTCTACCCCGGAATCTTCACGGGTCTAAATAACCAATGAAAACAAAGGATATATACGCAGATCTGCGTATGTATCCTTTGTTTTCCAAACAACCAATGAAAACAAAGGATACATACGCAGATGGAAGTAGTTTTTCAAGTTTTATGATATTTTTGCTTTGAAAGTTAACCTTTTCATGACATTTTTATCTGAATTTGAAGACGAAAATCAAATAGATGATCAGCATTTGCAATTTGTTGGATGGACTGAGTAAGATATGCTGGCCTGTGACAGAAGTGCTATGTTGACCACAAGGAGCTCTGTGTAGGAGAGTGGTTTATACCCTTTGAAATGACCTTCACCTTGTTCACATACCGGTGCCCTTTGAACCTAGTGCTACCACATTATCAAAATCTGCTGTGTGCCTTGTATATTGGTATGTTATGTTATATGATGCCAGTGATGGCATGGATATCGATATGGAGCCAAATACAGTCAAGTCCCATTAATCCGACATGGTTGGTTGCATATGATTATGTCGGATTAACGAGTATGTCGGATAAACAAAATTAGGTAGCATCAACGTTCGTGATCGAAATTGGACAACAACACGATAAATAATGATACAAACATGTAATAAGAAAAATGAAAAATGAAATTATGTTACATTGTTAGAGGAATATGTTTTCCTATCATGCAACCTCCAAAGTTTAACACAAAACTACTGTTACGGACTGTAATTACAGATTCAAAATACTTTTTGAAGCATAATCTGGAATGAAAGTCACGAATTAAAACTAGTGTCGCAATGCTCAAGAAATCTGCTTTCTTGGTGGCTAATGTCGACTTCCCGTTAGCATGGTTAGTCATTTCATTAGTCGGTCAAAGTTTGTGAAAGGTCGTTCTGACGTGACCTGTAATGGAATGTCCTCAGCGGTAGCGAGAACTTGTAACCAATTTTAATGAGATTGAGGTAATCTAGGCATATGATTAATCCTGTTTTGTTTATTTAAAGCAGTAAATGTTTATTGCTAAGCAAGTTTATCTCTGGAGCCGTTGAAATGTGCAGCTGCTCGCTGACTCGTTTGGCATCAAAACATGGGTCTGTGTACTCGCGGGCAAGAAGACCACGGAGTATGCGGATCACTGTGTCGGATTAATGAGACTGATAAGTGATTTCAGCAATTGATTGCAAATTAGGTGTGACGTAGTCGCAGTGCGAGACTGTCGGATTAACAGGTCTAAATAGTACTGATTTAATTGGTTCTCATCATTAGTGTCGGATAAAGCCGATTGTCAGATTAACGAGACTTGACTGTATGTTTATTAGGTATGGTAGCAAATGTGGCCATGATAACATAATTATTTTTGCCATTAGTAAGATATTTTTACATCATGGTCATGTATCTTTGTGTTGGCACTTGACACTTATATTTTCATTGTTTCATGACCTTATTTTATATATATTTGAGAATTTGACCTATAAGTATAATTATGACAATAATGTAAATATGAAACATTTGCATGAGCCACAGAGCCTCATCATTGTCCATGGCTCTAATTGTATGATTTGACTTTCAGCTGACTGATACAGCGTTTTCTCCCGCCCACAACCTCGAACCATCATTCCTACGTCAAGCTATTGCGTCCCATCTAATGACCTTTGGGCGGAGTCTAGTCATAGGCAAGTTGCCAGAGAGAGTTAACCTGGTGAGTTTATGTATGTTGTCAGAGTTAACCTGGTTAAATTTGTTGTCAGAGAGAGAGAATGTTAACCTGATGAGTGTATGTATTTTGCCAGAGTTAACTTAGTGAGTGTATGTATGTTGCCAGAGAGTTAAACTGGTGAAGATATGTATGTTGTCAGAGAGAATGTTAACCTGATGAGTGTATGTATTTTGCCAGAGTTAACTTAGTCATGTTAGTGAAGTATGTTGTCAGAGAGAATGTTAACCTGATGAGTGTATGTATTTTGCCAGAGTTAACTTAGTGAGTGTATGTATGTTGCCAGTGAGTTAAACTGGTGAAGATATGTATGTTGTCAGAGAGAGTTAAGTGCTTCGGTTGGTCTTGCCAAATCAGTACAGAGGCTGGCTATTTTTAGTTTTCGTACCTTTTGTTTAGTTTTTCTTGTTAGAGGCTGCTACATTGGTTTCAGTGGTTCATTTGGATGATTGTGTGTCATCGTTCCCACACAGCATGGGATAGCATGTAATAGTAACCACAGGTTTTCCTGGCCTGTACTTGATTAACTGCAATACTGCTGACTGTCATACAACAACAAGCAAACAAAGGGATATCCGTTTCAAACTGCACGCTTTGAGTCAACAAGGCTTTTGTGTTTGTGTTTCAGGTGATCCACACCCTGTCTATGTTTAACAGTGAGTGTGAGAGAGCTGTGTCACGGCGGGTGATCTACCCAATTCGCTGGCCTTACCACCAGGACCTGGCACTGCAGGGCAGTCTCAAGGTAGATCAAGGAGTTATCTCCCTTTGTTCTCTTCTCATACCTTATATTATTTCAGCAACACATTTTGTTGTTGTTGCTGGTTCAATTTTAAAAAGGTTGGCCGTGGAAACCAAGAAATACACTGTGTGGCGTAACTATGGTAATTGGTTTATGCTGCAGTCTGCAAATGGATCGTTCAATCTGCCCATGAGGGAGATGCTGTGTTGCCAGTACCCATCGAGCATCATTGATGTCCAGAACCGGGACATCAAACAGTCCCCCCATTGCCAGGAGCACATCATCCGACACTATGAGACAATGAAGAATGAGCTCATCTGCCTTCATTATCAACATTCCAATGGTCAAGACTTGAATGCAAGGTAAGCACATTCTGATTCTCTCCATAGTTTACCTTGATCTTCTATCTGATAATATTTTAGGTTATTTTGTGTTCTGATCAAGATGATGTTTTGTGAATGCTGAAATTATCAATTAAGACAAAACTAAGGAATAGAATGTATGGATGTCAGCTTCTTTATTGTGAGGAACATGTCATAAATAATAAAGAAGTTGACATCCATAAATTCTCTTCCTTATGTGTATCACTTCTAAATGCCTTTCAAAGACTTAAGGACAAAACTACATTGTACAGGTAGGATTGATTTGGTTAAACTGATGATATGCTCAGCTTCTATGGTGATATCAATTCTCGACTATGATGATGATGTTTGGTGATAATAATCATGATCCTTGTGTCTTTACCAGTGTTCTACAAACAGCAGACTTTCCAGAGTCCATTGTTCAAAATCTCTTAAATGAGGTGAGATTTTCATTATTAATTGGTGTGAGCGTACAGTTAGTCCAAGATTGCTTTCAGTCTTGGCCTATGTTTCTAAGGCATTGAAATTCACTGTGCAGAGTTTGTCCCTTAGCCATGTTAGCAATACCAGGATCCACTGATGGGGGGTTAATTCCAAGTATTAGTTCCATACTCTATACTGATTACTCATCAAGAAATAAACATTTATAAACTCCATCACTTTGGGCTTTCCTCCAACCATGCCCACATTAAGCTGATGTCATGTAACATTATAGTTCAAAGTGGCTTCTAACCACTTTTGCACTGATTATTCTGATTCTGTGTTTCAGATCTCCAAGCTGCCTGCTGTGTGTGGAGTGAGGGAGGCTCACATCGCCCAGTTCATGAGGCTGCTGCAGCGGAAGGCACTCAGCCTCATCAGATATGTGGAAACTGAGACGTGGGTATATGTACTTGTCTCGATATCGGTTGGATGTTCACCACAAAATGGATGGACATTGGGTCTTTGAATGGCATTTATAAGTGATACACATATGAGAGAGAATTTGTGGAAGTCAACTTCTTTATTATGAGGTGAGGTGATGAAGTAAAGTGGGGTTTAACATCGCGTTCAAGATTATAGCGATGTGCTTCCTCGTGTGTGTGTGTTGCTGCTTGTACTAGTCGGACTAGTCTGGACTAATGCTGATTTTATAGTGCTAGCCCACTGAGATACCATGGCACAATTTAACATGAATACCCGACTCAGGCACAGTAAACTGACTCCGAGCCAACAAGTCCTTTTTTTAGCCCCTTAATGCCGAGCACCAGGCAGGGTAACAACAAGTATAATGTTATCACATCTTTTGGTATGACGCTGCCAGGGATCAAAACCATGACCTTCAGCTCTCTGGGCAGACACTCTACGACTCTACGACTAGACCATGGAGGAGTAAGCATACACTCCGAAATGTTGTGTTCCACATGATAAAGAAGTTGACATCAATAAATTCTTCTCTCTTGGATGGACATTGTACCTATACCTTGATGTAGGGTGGATATTGTGCTTTAAATTGATATAGAGTGAATGCAGAGTTTGAAATAAAATATGTTGCCAAGCTGCCATTAGGACCCACAGACTTTAGAAGCTGCAGGCCTGAAACAAACCTTGATATAGAATGGATGTTGTACTTAAACCTTGATATTGAGTGAGTATTGTGCTTAAACCTTGATATAGAATGGATGTTGTGCTTAAACCTTGATATAGAATGGATGTTGTGCTTAAACCTTGATATAGAATGGATGTTGTACTTAAACCTTGATATAGAATGGATGTTGTGCTTAAACCTTGATATAGAATGGATGTTGTACTTAAACCTTGATATTGAGTGAGTATTGTGCTTAAACCTTGATATGGGTGGACATTTTGCTTCAACCTTGATATATTGGGTGGATGTTGTGCTTAAAACTTGATGTAGGGTGGGTATTGTGCTTAAACCTTGATATGGAGTGGGTATTGTGCTAAAACCGTGATATGGAGTGGATATTGTACTTACACTTTGATATAAGGTGGATGTTGTGCATAAACCTTGATATAGAGTGGATGTTGTGCATAAACCTTGATATAGGGTGGATGTTGAGCTTCAGCCTTGATATAGAGTGGATGTTGTGCTTCAGCCTTGATATAGAGTGGATATTGCGCTTAAACCTATAAAGGTCATATCGCTATAATATTGCTGAGAGCGTTGTTGATATGGAGTGGATATTGTACTTACACTTTGATATAAGGTGGATGTTGTGCATAAACCTTGATATAGAGTGGATGTTGTGCATAAACCTTGATATAGAATGGATGTTGTGCTTAAACCTTAATATAGAGTGGATGTTGTGCTTAAACCTTGATATAGGGTGGACATTTTGCTTCAACCTTGATATATTGGGTGGATGTTGTGCTTAAAACTTGATGTAGGGTGGGTATTGTGCTTAAACCTTGATATGGAGTGGGTATTGTGCTTAAACCTTGATATGGAGTGGATATTGTACTTACACTTTGATATAAGGTGGATGTTGTGCATAAACCTTGATATAGAGTGGATGTTGTGCATAAACCTTGATATAGGGTGGATGTTGAGCTTCAGCCTTGATATAGAGTGGATGTTGTGCTTCAGCCTTGATATAGAGTGGATATTGCGCTTAAACCTATAAAGGTCATATCGCTATAATATTGCTGAGAGCGTTGTTGATATGGAGTGGATATTGTACTTACACTTTGATATAAGGTGGATGTTGTGCATAAACCTTGATATAGAGTGGATGTTGTGCATAAACCTTGATATAGAATGGATGTTGTGCTTAAACCTTAATATAGAGTGGATGTTGTGCTTAAACCTTGATATAGGGTGGACATTTTGCTTCAACCTTGATATATTGGGTGGATGTTGTGCTTAAAACTTGATGTAGGGTGGGTATTGTGCTTAAACCTTGATATGGAGTGGGTATTGTGCTTAAACCTTGATATGGAGTGGATATTGTACTTACACTTTGATATAAGGTGGATGTTGTGCATAAACCTTGATATAGAGTGGATGTTGTGCATTAACCTTGATATAGAATGGATGTTGTGCTTAAACCTTGATATAGAGTGGATGTTGTGCTTAAACCTTGATATAGGATGGATGTTGAGCTTCAGCCTTGATATAGAGTGGATGTTGTGCTTCAGCCTTGATATAGAGTGGATATTGCGCTTAAACCTATAAAGGTCATATCGCTATAATATTGCTGAGAGTGTTGTTACACACACACACACACACACACACACACACACACACACACACACACACACACACACACACACACACACACACACACACACACACACACACACACACACACACACATTGTTGTGCATAGAGGCATAGATCTGTACCTGTACTGTGACATGTGCTCAACTTTGTGCTTATTTCGTTATTCCATACCAGTATTTATATAAAGACTGATATTTATCCAACTTCTACCTGTGTACTTTTCTCAGTGTAACTCAATAACTTTCCCTTTCAGTAACAGGGGAGCAGTCCACCCAAGGGGACTGAAGAAACTTAAAAATGACTTTAACCTCACCCTGGAGGGTGATTTCAGAATAGTCTTAGCAACAGCTGAGAAACTGAAGCCAGGAATTTACCACCTGCTTCTAGGGGAGAGAAAATACGACGTAGAACATCTTCCAAATATGACAGACATTTTGTAGCTGGGGCTGTAGGTCCGATGAGCCTCAGTAAGAAGACTGTGTATTTCCATACTTCCACATTTTTATATCAAACTGAGTGTCAAGAGCAAGGAATAATAAAGCCTCAACTCATGAACGTAGATAGAAACATATCTACCTTGATCTACTGTCATAACCATTGGGATGACACGCCAGCCTGGCAGTGTTTATGCTTCACCAAGGCTGAGTAACATCTCCACTTGGCCCCAAACAAGGATTCCAAACAATATTTATAGCAAAGTTGGAATCAGTTTTCCTGATCAAGGCATGTTACTGAAGTAGTATATCTGATATCAAAATTTCGTTTTGGAGACTGTTACAGTATGTATCCTCCATCAGGGCTCATGTCTTTATATCACAAACTGGAAGAAGATATGATTCTCCCTTGTAACATTTGATAAGTGATGTAACTCTCTGATGCTTCATATCCTTTGCTGTGTTGCCTTGTTAACATGTGGAGCCCTTACCGTGGATACCTATTGTTACAGATTATACATAGTACCAGATATTAGAGCTGTACTTGTTTCTTTAATCCCAAGGTTCATACAGGCTTGGAAAGACCTTGAATTTTAAGGCCCCTCTTGAAAAGCCTTGATCTTTAGTGTCAAGCTTGAAAATCATCAAAGTAGCTTGAAAAGCCTTGAATATTTACAAAATGACATGTATTAATGTTCATACTGTTTTTGAGATTGCGATTGATGTATAGTATGCTGGATTTAAAAAGACCAACTAAGGCTAAAAACCTATCTAGAAAACCCTTGAAAATGACAGTTGAAGCCTTGAAAAGGTCTTGAATTTTAGTGTTCCATATCTGAATGTATCCAACTGTAATATTTCTGTCATAAATAAGTCAGATAGTCAGTAAAAGGTGATGTAGCATTAAGAATATCTGTGATTAATCGTTTCCAAACCAGTCATACCGGTATGTTCTTTCAAAAGCTTGACATGTGATGTTTGTATGTTCATAACTGTTGCTTGCTTGATCATATGAAGTGGAGTTTCTACTGTATATTGCTGCATGGACTGGATGGGCTCTCGTATCTGCCTCTATTGTGTTAATCCACTCATGTCGCACTCATTCCACTGAGTGATATCAACGCAGTGTTAAACCCAACTCACTCACTCACTCCAACCACGAGGGTATATCATCTCTCCAGCAGGCAGGCCACACATTGACGTGTCATGCTCTTTGTCTTAAAATTATGTTGTTCCATTTGTGAGATGAATAGAGAATCTCCTCCGAGTGCTTTTTGATATCAAATATATCAACACAAGTCGATAAAATGTTAGAACTCTGAGGCTTGCTGAAGAGTTTTTAACTTTCATTGATAAGTTTTCATATATCTGATATCAAAAGACACAAGATCGGGATTCTATTTATCATCCAAAATCATTCTTACAAATGTTCAGTTTGTAAACAGTAATAGCCGGTGTCAGTGTAAACAGTTCTGCTAACCAGTCTCAGTGACAGAGTAGTCATTTAATGGTATCCTACCTCATCTAACTTACCTAGTATTCTAGTCTTTGTTTGTCTAGATAGTTAGCTGGCTGTAATAAACTTTGTTAATTTATTTTTTCCTTCTAAGTTTTTCCTCCAAACCGGGACAACATAGACTCGCACAATCTGAATTTACTTTACAACCACTGATCTAAGTCTTTGATGGGCATTTCGAAGTTGGGAGACCATGAATACATGACACTTTTTTATGGATAACAACTTCTTTTATTCTCTCTTCTTTTAGATCTACTGCTTGCTCCGTCATCAGGTGAATGATGAAGGAACATTCATTCATTTGCCCGTTGAAGGAGCGAGAAGAAGCTCTGAAACGTACAAAGAATATATAAGTTGCTATCCACAAAAAAAATGTCATGTATTCAACAATTGATCTAATGCTATGTTACTCAAATGAAGTTAAAGATCTGATTTTTTGATATGACTATGCCTAATCTGTCAAGGCAGATTAGCTTTAGTCATATGAAAGGTCTTCAGCAACCCATGCTTATCATAAAAGGTGACTGCTTGTCATAAGAGGTGACTAACGGAATCGGGTGGTCAGGCTCGCTGACTTGGTTGAAACATGTCATCGATCCCAATTGCGTGGATCGATGCTCATGATATCAATCACTGGATTGTCTTTTCCAGACTCGATTATTTACAGACCGCCGTCATATAGCTGGAATATTGCTGAGCGGCGTTAAACAACAAATCAACCAACCAAATCATATGAAAAACTTGGGTGTTCTTGAACCTCTTTTGAGTAGTATACAATATGGCTCTTTGACATCCCTCGAAATGAAACCCTTCATTTCAAATACTAAATAATCAAATGATGCTCAGCCGATTGTATCAATCAGAATTGTATTTGGGTTAAGATGTTCCCACGTTTACAGTGTTGTGAGAGGAGAGCTGTGATTCAATCTCACTCAAATCAGATCTTTCACTCTGAGGTATTGTATTCGAGTAAAATTAATATGGTGTGATGGGGGTTGGTTCTATCACATACCTGCACATGTGGATGGTTGCAGCATATTTCCAATTTTCATATTTTCAAGGGTGGATCTAAAAGTTGTTAGAGGGTGTCTCACATTTTTTAAGTCCTACCTTTAATGTGTCTTTATGATACGCACAAAACAAATATTGCAACAATGACAAGAAGGAGGAAGTTTTTGTGTATGCTCAGTTGTGGTCACACACCATTAACCCTTCTTTCTCTCCTTCCCCACTCCCTGGGGAGTATACAACCCAAGCTGCCTTTGGGTGATTTTTCATCCACCACATATCGTGTACCCATTCCCTGCTGGGTTTACTGTGGCACATTTGAACGAAGTCTCTTGCCCAGGGTGACGCCACCTGTTTTGACACTTGTCTTCAGGTGTACGAACATAATCAGGTTTCCACCATCTAGTCATCTATAGTCTGGAAGGTAATTTAAGGTACCGACGTTTACTACAATAACTGAAAAACTATCGGACCTACTCCAGTCAGAGTTGGTATGAGATTGTTAAACAGTCATACATAACTGGATATTACATTTAAAGACAATCGGTGCATGAATAAAAAATCTGTCTATTTAGCTATCACTATATTTCATCAAAAACCAGACCTGTTCGTCACGGTTGGAACGAGCATTCATTGAAACAGCCATCTGCATAATGCTACCCCTGCGTCGCAGGGCCATATGGCACAGTTGAACCAATCAACTCAACTCGAAAGGGTGCACGGGAATCACGCACGTTGAGACGCACAACGCTAACACCGTATTCGTGCGTGCGTGCGTGCGTGCGTGCGTGCGTGAATCTCATACCAACTTTGACTGGAGTAGGTCCAATAGTATTTCAGATATTGTAGTAAACGTCGGTACTTTAAATTACCTTACAGACTATACACTCGGATGAGTGGGTTCCTTTGAGTGCATTGGGTGAATGTGCTGTACACTAGGGGTAGAGACAACACTTAAAGACCTGTAAACATTGTTGGTCCAGAGGGTAAGTAAAAACCCGGTCACTTGTTTGTTGTGTACATGTTTTCCATATTTGTTCATCAAAACTGGATGTGATGAATAGAAGTTTGTTTTGCATTTTTTAAAATTTGATTTCTTTTTCAAAGAGTAAAACTCACTTTGTTCATAGTGCACACAATTATTTGTTTGTCTGTGTCTTCGACTAATGGTGTGGTATGTGTGGAACTTGAAAAGTGGGAAACAGTTATACTTTGATTAGGATCATGGTTAACATATTTTCACAGCTTTCGCCAGTGAATGTTTACCATGCTTGTTGTTTATTGGTCAGTATTTGAACTGACAGGAGGTGATGGTCAAGACTATTCCACTTATATGGTGACAGGCTTACTGTTTACATGCATGCATATGTGTCAGCTTGTACTAGTCTGACACAGTATACTAACCCCGAGCTGACCAGTCCTTGTTTTGTCTCCTTATTGACGAGCACCAGGCAGGGTAGCAACAAGTACCAACATTTAATGTCTTTTTGGTATAACCCAGCCGGGGATTGAACCCCTAATGTTATGCTCTCCAGGCAGACGCATGTTCGGTACACTAGACCAGGGATGCGACAGGAACCGGTAGGTAGCATGTAGTTAGGGGCAGTCATTGGTTGTGAGGAGATTTTGTTCAGTTGGTTTCATCCAGAAGTACAAAGTTGATGCCATTTTATCTGCAGCTCTCCTCAAGTGCTAGTCTACTTGTCACATGATCCCTCTCAAGGATGCAAATGCAAGGATTTTGCATGAAAGAACATATTAATATATTTATATCTTATAAAACACTGTCCATTTTCATCATGAAGCACCCCCCAAAATAGGGATACCCGGTACTTTCATAAAACTCATGATCTTTTCTTGTTCCTCTCTTCTCTCACTCTCTCCTCTCACTCTGTTGTCTTGTTTTCCTTTCCTCTACTCTCCCCTCATTCTTCTCTCCTCTTCCTCTCACTCCTGTCTTGTTTTACCTCTCCTCTACTTTCTCTCTCTGTCTGTTGGTTTCATATCGAGTTATTTGTTAATGTAAGAGTGCCCTGAGACTGTTGTAGATTTAGGGCCATTTGGTGAAGCAGTGTAAACTATTAGGGGTTTGTGAAATGGCCTAAAGCAAGAAGCTGGTTGATGCCATGATTCAGGAGGTGCTGGTGCTTAGAGGCATTCATTAAAAAGCATTCAGATGTGTAACTGTGTGGCTCAAATGCATGTCCTGCAAACTTGTAAAGATTTTCATGGAAGACAAGGATGGGAAGCCTGAGTCAGATGGAATACTTTTCAAATGGTTTGAAATGTATAATGTCCAGGAATAATATATACCAAGTAGTGGCCACCTCAATAAACCTGTGACCCAAGTACTGTCAATTGGGGCTGATTCTGGGTACAGGCTACAGCTATCAGGGGCTTCAGTTTGTTTGCCCCAAGTTTTTGTGTGTCGACAAGAGTCTTGACATCAGTATGTAATGCCAGTGAACATTCTCACATTTGATGGCTGAGAAAGTGATGATGTGAAATGACACTGAGATCAATAAGGTGATGCCTACATTCACGCTACCACATTCCAGGAATGTCTGCCACAGTGTGACAATATTCTCCCATATTCCAGATGTCTGGTGAAGTCCTCATGTAATCTGTGCCAGGTAGATGTGACATAGTTAGTGTTTCAGAGATGTCACTACACTAGGACTCCCAGCAACATGAGGGCAGTTCTGTCACCTTGGGATGCAAACACTAATTTGGTTGTATCTGCCATGTTAAAATAAAGGTTTGCTCTGTTTTTTAAATGTAAACACCACGAGTTAAATCCAACATGTTTGTAGGTCACTTCAGGTTTATATAGCATGAGGTAACACTATATTTTTTAATTTACAGATTTGACTGACCATAGCCAGACAAATCAAAACAAAAATTATGAATACAATAAGTTTTATTTTATTTCAATTAGTTACAACTAATAAATTCATACAAAAAAGTAACTATATATATATTTTTAAATATAGTCTGGCCGCTGCAGACACCTACTAGAGAGAACAAAGCTCTCCCTGAATGAAGTACATATATAATAATACATGTTACCAAGATGACTGTCAAAATAGAAGACATCCTGCACTTTATACCAACAGACCCAACCAACTTTATGACAAATAATGTTTTTTTTGAAATCGTGAGCTACACATATTTACATTAATATTTATTTTGAACTACCCAAGCTAAAAGGAGCTAATTGGTTTGTAAAACATCTGTAAACCATGAAATATGAAAAGTGTGGTCTAACACAGTCTGTTGGTAATCAAAAGGTTTTTGAGAAGCATGTGTCGTACAATTAAGGTCTCACGAGCTACAAAAGAAAAATGACTTATTAAATTAAGCCAGAGAAAATGCATTTGGTAAGAATGAAAATAATTATTGAAAGTACAATCTGTAATTACATACTTGTCGAAAGAAAGTTTTAAGTCTTTGAATGGCATTTAGAAATGATACACATAAGGAAGAAAATTTATGGATGTCAACTTATTTATTATGAGGAAACAGTTTTGCCAGTCAACTGAAAATGGTAAGTTTGTATCAAGTTGATATTTGGACATATGTGTTTTGTACCAGCCTGTGGCGCTGTGTTGGTGGTATCAGTATCAGTACTGACTGTGTTTCAGTATCAATACTGACTGTGATAAGTTGCTTGTAGTGACTGCCAATGCTGTGTATGGCTGTTATATGGTGAAAGAGAACATATATTGCACATATTTTAACTGAAATAAAGTATTCCATCATTTACATTTTTTACCTTTGTGTGTTTAATTGCATCTTCCCCAGGCACTAGGCTGGAATTTCCAGTCTCGATCGTAGTGCCACCGGGGGGGGGGGGGGGGCACGGGTGGCCCAGTCGTCTTAGGCGCCACGATTCGCTGTGCAGAGTTGCGTCCCTTGGGCACGCCAGAAACCTATGATTGTGAGTTCGAATCCCGGTTCGCCCCGATTATGTTTCTAGGTTTGTCAGCACAATACCCATGCTCTTAGGTTTCATGGAAGTGGTAAACGTCTGAGCCCTGCATCACATCGGGCTTTCCTCCCACATTAAGCTGACACGCCGTGATATAACTGGAATACTGTTAAAAGTGTCTTAATCACTCACTCACTCACCCACTCATGTAGTGCCACCTCAGGAACGTGGTTTTATTGGTGTGAGAACAGACTGTCATGATTGATGAACATATAATGAATTTGAAAATGATTGTCTCGTCAGACTGAAAACCTACGTTCAGTTCTCCATATTGGTGCAATGTGTAGAGCCCATGTGCCCAGCCATGATATTGATAAAATAATGTTAGAACTGTGAGTTTGTAGCCAGTCGTGAGAGTACAAGGCAGCCACACACCTGCATGCAGTGGCTGCGTGAGTGAAATCGGATGTAAGACCCCATGCCACCTCGCTTCTCACTGAGGGTCCCAGCATATCTATTGATCTGTTTGACAGGGAACTGTTTGCTGTGAATTTATGGAGAAAGGTTGAAAAATTTAGACCTCCAATCAATGCTGTTCTGAAGAACCAGTGTGTTCAGAAACCTGGCTTAAATCCTGTGGTTTGGTTGTAATTCAGAAAGATGTGCGGGGCCTACTTCTTGTAGACTTATGTGGATATGGTGGTGACTGTGTTTGACCTGGCTGATTGTGTGGGTGTCTACTTTCACCTATAGTGCAGTTCGCCTACAGTGTTATCAAATCAACTTTGTGCACTAGCGATGTATGTTATTGATGGTCGGGGTGGGTCGGGGAAGCTTAATTAAGATCAGTACTATTCTAATTCTAGATCAGTTGCATGCATTTATATCAATAAGAATGGTGTCTTACCCTCTTCTCAGTGTTAAGATATATATTTCATTTTTTCTTTTCATTCTTTAGTTTTGGGCCCGTGAAGATCCGTGGTAGAATAGGTCTTCAGCAACCCATGCTTGCCGTAAAAGGCGACTATGGTTGTTGTAAGAGGCGATCAACGGGATCGGATGGTCAGACTCGCTGACTTGGTTGATGCATGTCATCGCGTGGATCGATGCTCTTGTTGTCAATCACTGGATTGCCTGGTCCAAGCTCGATTATTTACAGACCGCCGTCATATAGCTGGAATATTGCTAAGTGCGGAGTTAAACAACAAACAAACAAATTTAGTTTTGTTCACATTACAGGTTAGTAGCACTGTATGGACAGCGACCTATACACCATGTTGGACTGATCCTTTACCAACAAAGAGATGTAATTATGTGAGTGCAGGCAAAATACATTTCCATTTCTGATGGCAAAGTGACTTGCGAACTGCACTGTAAATGAAAGAAGACATAACCATTGAGGCTTGGATTCTAGGCCGTTTGCGAAAGACATGTTAGTCGTTTGTTGTTTAACCCTGTGCAATATTTCATCTATATGACAGCGGTCTGTAAATAATGGAGTTTCCACCAGACAATGCAGTGATTGACATGAACATCAATCTACGTCATTGGGATACAATGACCACCGGATCCATTTAGTCGCATATTACGGCCAGCATATGTTGCTGGGGACCTATATTCTTACTCAGAATCACCACAGGTAAACAATGCTTGAGTATTTGTGGGCAGATTCACACACTATAGACGGGGCGTCCCACCATTTAAAGAGGGCAGATAACAGATGTACATATGCTCTGCTACGGTCTGTGACAAGTTACATCTAGAATATAATGTTTCTAGATGTATTTGTTTTGTAGAAAATCCGTACTTCAACAGTAATATTAAATAAGCTAAATCTGGGAATCGTGCTTCAAAAGATTTTGTGGGCACAGGTGGCCCAGTCGTCGGAGGCGCCAGAAATCTATCATTGAGGGTTTGAATCCCGGTTCGCCCCGATTATGTTTCTAGATTTGTCAGCACCATAGGGTATGGTCGTGGGTTTCACCGAAGTGATAAACGTCTGAGACCTGCATCACTTCGGGCTTTCCTGTCACATCAAGCTGACACATCGTCATATATAACTGAAATTCTTTTCACAGCGGCGTTAAAACCAACTCACTTAAAAAAAACTATTTGAAAGGGAGCTGTACAAAGTAAGTAATTCGTGCTACACCAATATAGAACGTTTTAGTATTTCATTTTTTTCTTTTAAGAAACTTTCAGCGGCATTTATTTCAACGTGATATAAATACAATGATTTATCAACCTACTGGTTGAACCTGACGGGTACATACAGTGAGTCATGGACAGTGTACAATGGGGGGACTTTCCTGCTGCGATACACCACGGACAGGTGGATTTGTTAGCGAACAAATGAGACAATCTAAACTCTCTGGTGCATTGTCTGTTTAGGTTAAACTGCCTTAGATATATCCATCAAATGCCATCCGGAATTGCGACATGAGCACTACTGACAAATTGTTATGTACAACAGCGCACCATAATAAGAACAAATTGTCTCACGAACACACACGTGTTCAGTGTCTGGCTGTAGCAAGAAACGCAGCACCTAAGATTTACTTCAGACTCTCTTGACCCGACTCTCCTCTTTGTCTTTGTCTACTCCCACCCCTCTCGGGTTCGCTGTCACGTCTTTCTCTCTGTCAATCTCTCCCATCATCTCTCTCCTCGTCCTCCTCATTGTGCTTGCCTCTCTTACACCCGCCTCTCTCCTCATCTTCTCCCTTGTCATCGCCTCTCGCCTCGTCTCCTCCCATGTTCTCAACGACCCCTTGTCCCCGCCCGTCTCCTTATCTTCCCCCTCGCCTTTTCTTTGCACCTCGTCTCCTCCCTCGCCGTTTCCTCTCTCCTCGTCTTCTCTTTTGACGCACCCATCTACTAATCATCGTCTCCCTTGTCCCCGCCTCTCTCCCATCTTCCCCCTCGCCTTTTCCTTGCACCTCGTCTCCTCCCTCGCCCTTTCCTCTCTCCTCGTCTTCTCTTTTGACGCACACATCTACTAATCATCGTCTCCCTTGTCCCCGCCCTTCTCCTCATCTTCTCCCTCGCCCTTGCCTCTCTCCCTATCTTCGCCCTCGCCTTTTCCTTGCACCTCCTCTCCTCTCTTGTCCTTTCCTCTCTCCTCGTCTTCTCTTTTGACACACATCTCTGCTAATTATCGTTTCCTTTGCCCTTCCCTCTCTACCCATCTTCTCCCTCGCCCTTTCCTCTCCTCGTCTTCTCTTTTAACACACACCTCTGCTACACATCGTCTCTCTTGTACTTGCCTCTCTCCCCTCTTCTCCCTCGTCCTTGCCCCTCTCTCCATCTTCTCCCTCGCCATTTCCTTTCTCCTCGTCTTCCCTTTTAACACACACCTCGGCTACTCATCGTCTCCCTTGTACTTGCCTCTCTCCCCTTCTCTTCCCTCGCCATTTCCTCTCTCCATCTTCTCCCTCGCCATTTCCTCTCTCCTCGTCTTCCCTTTTAACACAGAACTCGGCTACTCATCGTCTCCCCTGTACTTGCCTCTCTCCCCTCTGCTCCGTCGTCCTTGCCCCTCTCTCCATCTTCTCCCTCGCCCTTTCCTCTCCTCGTCTTCTCTTTTAACACACAACTCGGCTACTCATCGTCTCCCTTGTACTTGCCTCTCTCCCCTCTTCTCCCTCGCCCTTGCCCCTCTCTCCATCTTCTCCCTCGCCATTTCCTCTCTCCTCGTCTTCTCTTTTAACACACACCTCTGCTGCTAATCGTCTCCCTTGTACTTGCCTCTCTCCCCTCTTCTCCCTCGCCCTTGCCTCTCTCTCCATCTTCTCCCTCGCCATTTCCTCTCTCCTCGTCTTCTCCTTTAACACACCTCTGGTCATCCTCATCTCCTGATCTTCTTTCTTTGTAATATTCTTTGTGGAAAATCAGGTTACGTTATAGACCAAGGTCATTTATAACTCTCTGAAGTAACAGCGTTATTCATTCTTATCATCGGCAGAGTGACAAATTAGCAGAAGGCGGTGTTTGCTTCCTCATAAATAAATCTCAGCAGTTAGGTTGTCTTATCGTGAAGCATTTAAATTCCCTACCTGACAAGGGGATATTGCTATATATGTGTCCGCCTTGCGTCACAGGTGATTTGTAAAATATCTGTCACGTGATACAGGTGTGCTGTATAAACGTACTGATTACCTAAGTCTATTCTAGTATTATGTCTGGCAAATATACGATATTGGTCTATTAATCAGCGGCAGTGGTATCTTTTCGCTGAAAGGCAACTTTCAGGCAGTAAACATCATTGCCGTTATCTGACACCCAGATTTCATTTGTCGGCAAAGTTTTGTCAAATTATACGAGCATTCTACTTTTGTGATTACAATCAAACCAATTTCAGGATCATAATGATACTTCAGTTTTGTGATTGTGGTCAAATTGTACGGATGTTATTAAGACGACTTGAAGTTTGCCTTTCGGTAAGAGTAAAACATGCTACCCCGCTCCTCTGCAACGGTATACTCGCACACTACCACAGTACACTCACAGCCTAGCACGGTACACTCGCACACTACCACGGTACACTCACAGCCTAGCATTGTACACTCGCAAACTACCACGGTACACTCACAGCCTAGCACGGTACACTCGCACACTGCCACAGTACACTCACAGCCTAGCACGGTACACTCGCACACTACCACAGTACACTCACAGCCTAGCACGGTACACTCGCACACTACCACAGTACACTCACAGCCTAGCACGGTACACTCGCACACTACCACGGTACACCCACAGCCTAGCACGGTACACTCGCACACTACCACGGTACACTCACAGCCTAGCACGGTACACTCGCACACTACCACGGTACACCCACAGCCTAGCACGGTACACTCGCACACTACCACAGTACACCAAAAGCCTAGCACGGTACACTCGCACACTACCACGGTACACTCACAGCCTAGCGCGGTACACTCACAGCCTAGCACGGTACACACGCACACTACCACAGTACACCCACAGCCTAGCACGGTACACTCGCACACTACCACAGTACACCAAAAGCCTAGCACGGTACACTCGCACACTACCACGGTACACTCACAGCCTAGCGCGGTACACTCACAGCCTAGCACGGTACACTCGCACACTACCACAGTACACTCACAGCCTAGCACGGTACACTCGCACACTACCACGGTACACTCACAGCCTAGCGCGGTACACTCACAGCCTAGCACGGTACACTCGCACACTACCACAGTACACCCACAGCCTAGCACGGTACACTCGCACACTACCACAGTACACTCACAGCCTAGCACGGTACACTCGCACACTACCACAGTACACTCACAGCCTAGCACGGTACACTCGCACACTACCACAGTACACTCACAGCCTAGCACGGTACACTCGCACACTACCACGGTACACTCACAGCCTAGCACGGTATACTCGCACACACACAGTACACTCACAGCCTAGCACGGTACACTCGCACACTACCACAGTACACCCACAGCCTAGCACGGTACACTCGCACACTGCCACGGTACACTCACAGCCTAGCACGGTACACTCGCACACTACCACAGTACACTCACAGCCTAGCACGGTACACTCGCACACTACCACAGTACACTCACAGCCTAGCACGGTACACTCGCACACTACCACAGTACACTCACAGCCTAGCACGGTACACTCGCACACTACCACGGTACACTCACAGCCTAGCACGGTATACTCGCACACACACAGTACACTCACAGCCTAGCACGGTACACTCGCACACTACCACAGTACACTCACAGCCTAGTACGGTACACTTGCACACTACCACAGTACACTCACAGCCTAGCACGGTACACTCGCACACTACCACGGTACACTCACAGCCTAGCACGGTACACTCGCACACTACCACGGTACACTCACAGCCTAGCACGGTACACTCGCACACTACCACGGTACACTCACAGCCTAGCACGGTACACTCGCACACTACCACAGTACAGGATCATAATGATAATTCAGTTTTGTGATTGTGGTCAAATTGTACGGATGTTATTTAGACGACTTGAAGTATGCCTTTCGGTAAGAGTTAAACATGCTTGCGATTGACATCGAACTACCCCGCTCCTCTGCAACGGTACACTCGCACACTACCACGGTACACTCACAGCCTAGCATTGTACACTCGCACACTACCACGGTACACTCACAGCCTAGCACGGTACACTCGCACACTACCCTCACAGCCTAGCACGGTACACTGAGTTGCGTCCCTTTGGCACCTTGAGGCTTCGAATCAGGTTCGTCGATTATGTTTCTGGGTTTGTCAGCACCATATCCGCGCTTGTTTATGTATTAAAACATCAATACTACCTGACTCCCACCCCGAAATTGATTGCATCAGAAGAGGGAAAAAAATAACAAAGGCTGACTGGTGAGAACAAAACATTCTTGCGATTGACATCGAACTACTGTTTACCCGCAGTTACATCGCAGTCAACACTGAAGGATTGCATCGTCGTGCCAACACCGAAGTCTCCGTGTTGACAAGGAAGTGAAACTTCAACAAGGAATTATTTGCCTTACGGGGTTTCAACTGATCCAAAAAGAACACTTAACCAAGTTGAAAAGCAAAAGAACTTTAAATCTCAACTACTCTTGCTTTCACATTCATCCCTAGGCCAGACTTTTTTTGGCTTGCGGATTTTGATAGTGAAACATGGTTAGTAGGTCTAAAACATAGAATGCACTGTACATCTTAAAGTCTGATTTGGATCAGTGGGCGATAAAAATATAAGATATTAATCTTGGCCTGGTTCGGGTCCATAAAAAATGTACAATCTGACAGGAACGTTTATTGTCGGCGGTATAAAACAACAACAATAAACGACAACCTTGTCGTTCTTATTTTCACCTCTCCCCTCTTGCAGTCAGCCGATCCGTAAACCAAAAACAAATGTAAGGTCATAATTGCAATGTTATTACCTTCACATTATTTCTCTTTGACATTTACCTTAAGTCAATCGACCGCCTCCGTGTTCTATTGGTAGTGCTTCCGACCGGAGAGCGTCATACCAAAATACGTTAAAAGATGGTACTTGTTGTTGCCCTGCCTGGCGCTCGGCATTAAGGGGCTAAAACAAGGACTGATCAGCTACTGTGTCTGAGTGGTGTATTTCATGTTAAACTGCGGCATGGTAGCTAAGTGGGCTAGCACTATAAATCGGCATCAGTCCGGACTAGTACAAGCAGCCACACACACACGCACACACGCACACACGCACACACACGTGCATGCACGTGGCTATATAAGTGTAATAATCTTGGGCGCGATGTTAAACCCATTTCACCTCACCTTAAGTCAATCGTCGTATATATAGTAAAGTTTGATTTCATGCATATTCGCATATTTATCATGACAATTTAAAAATCAAGGCATTAAATGTGCCCCCCAAACATCGCACAAATTCTCCCCCCCCCCCCCCCCCCCCCCCCCCCCCTGATTGTAATTTGATTGGACGACTGTATTGTATTGCATTACAAATCCAGATTCAAAACGAAGCCATGATGGCGAATGGGTCCAGGGTTTTTATCATAACACAATGGAGATATAATACACTTCCATCGTACAGCAGGGTATTTATCATAACAGAATGGAGATATAATACACTTCCATCGTAATACAGGGTATTTATCATAACACAATGGAGATATAATACACTTCCAACGTAATACAGTGATATACATGTACATATGTACCATGATTAGACTTAAGTTTGAAGAACACATTTGTTACTTTTTCCCTTCATTCTACCATCTTGCCGCCTGAATATCCACACAGAAAGAGAGTATTATCGACAATTGCTGCAGAGAACCTTGTTATTCGCATTGTCGATAAAAGTCCTTTGACTGACAACTAACCCTGCTCTTTTCCGTTTCCAATACCTACATGTTTTTACTTATATGATGAGAAACATTTCCCGCAAATATCCGGGTTAGAATTGGTCTTCATCAACCCATGCCTGTCGTAAGAGGCGAATTTGCATGTCGCAAGAGGCCACTAACGGAATTGTCTGGTTCAGACTCGATTATTTAAAGACCGCCGTCATATAGCTGGAATATTGCTGAATACGGCGTTAAACAACAACAAATAAACAAAATATCCTGGGATCGCTGACTTGGTTTGGCATGTCATCGTATGCAAATTGCGTCCAGACTCGATTATTTACATACCGCCGTCATATAGCTGGAATATTGCTGAGTGCGGCGTTCAACAACAAACAAACAGAACATGCAAAAATAATGACTGTTTTAAGTTTGCCTTGAGCAAAAATATAAAATATATCTTTTCTTTGCCCCCAAATGAATTATGTAACATATTTCTTTACTGCCTTTTCCGACATTTCCTAGAAATATACTTCGTCAAAGACGTGACAATGTTCAAATATTAGAAAATACTTTCTGGAAAAACCTGAAACTGAGCCCATTAGACAGATTTTAAGAGTACATGTACATGTCCCATGCCTTGTCCTTTTACAATTCACAAATGAAGTCTACAGGCAGTAAATTTGCTTGGTTTACGGACTCACCGACCATAAGAATCGAAAAATCAGAAGAAGACAAAACGTATAACGCCAACGGTAAAGCTCGCTTTAACAATAAACTAAGGAATAAATCAATGACTAAAACATATTTTGTCCAAAGATAAATCGCAATTACAATTCAGATTTTAGATTTTAGTATAAGGACCAAAACCAGGCCAATATTGTTTTTTCATCACCTACAATCGAAATAAAACTCTAAGATGATTAAAAAAAAATCATGCTCAATGTATTTATAATTTTAAAAATCGACCGACCGACCGAATGTTTCACTACTGAAGTTCGTAAACCATAAAAAATAGAAACAAAGTCTTGCCTTAAGGGAAATTGAAAAAGAAATGTCAACATGCGACAGAGTAGTGGTTCATGCTTATGCTCTATTCCTTATATGAGGTAATGTAACCAGGGTCCCTCTTTCTGCCATTCAGCAGATGCCGATGGGTGAAACTTTGGAGTTACGAATGAATTTTGGGACAGCCATTCGACGTAGCAGTTAAGTGTTGATATATCCCCGATCACGTGTTTCACAAGAATATTGTGTTTAAACGCTTCCTGTATAAACAACAGCGGTAAAAAACACGAAAAGCTCCGATAACTATACAGTGGGAAAGTGACATATGTGTAACTTGTCTAACGATCGAAGTATGTTCTCGGTGGAAGCTAATCTCTCCGCCGGGCTTGTCACTCCTGCGATAAACAGCCGAACAAATCATAGCTTTCTTTCAACTCTGAAGCAACGTCAGATATTTGTCATCAGTAAATTTACATGAGAATTAACTAAACCCGCATTGGCTACAACCAAACCGGCCCCTTTCTGTGCACACCAAACCTTTGTCAAAGATCGTCGCCCAGACAGTTTAATACTTCCCCACCGTCGTGTAAAGATGTGTTATCCAAGGGTATCGTTACCTCATATCCTCACCCTAGTGTTTCTTCTCCCCCACCCCGGGGCTCTGGGGTGCGACCCAAGCTTTCAGATGTCAGTGCAGGATAAAGTGATGTATTCTAAGGTTGTAGCACAGGGAACTATTGTTAAACACTATCCAGTCACGACGGCCAACCCCGGGCAGTTCGTAGCAGAGCTGGAGGTTCAGTGTGTGTTCAAAGACACGGGGACGAGGCTACCTGGATTGCTGAATATCACCAATGGCGGTATGTGTTGTTGTTTTACGTCGCAGACAGAAATACATCATCTATATCACGAAGACCTGTTAATAATCTAGGCAAACATGACACTGACAGCATGTCTGACCAGTGACTGACAGTGACTGACCCATGACGTTTTTGTAGGTGAGGTGAGGTGAAATGGGGTTTAACGTCGCGTCCAAGATTATTGCACTTATATAGCGACGTGCATGCACGTGTATGTATGTGTGGGAGCTTGTACTAGTCCGGACTGATGCCGATTTATAGTGCTAGCTCACTGAGATACCATGCCGCAGTTTAACATGAATACCCCACTCAGACACAGTATACTGACTCCGAGCCGACCAGTCCTTGTTTTAGCCCCTTAATGCCGAGCGCCAGACAGAGTAACAACAAGTACCATCTTTTAACGTCTTTTGGTATGACGCAGGCGCACGCTCTACCATTAGACCACGGAGGCGGTCGTTTTTGTAGGATGACAAGCAATTAGCCAAATCACAAATTCACAGGCGCACCGAAGTTTCACACGGCCAACATCTACATTCATACAGAGTATTTGCTGTAAAACCGAATTAAGAATCTACTTAATTTATATCCGTATGTTTAGATTTAAGGGTCACCATTGTAATTGAGGAAGGGCATGTATCTTTACACTAAGAAGCCAACTTTTCTTGTAAATTCGTATGCGTGGACTTCATTGGTTTTAACATGACCTTATTTGTAGTGTTTTTATGAAACATTTGACCATGGACTTTTAAAGTCAGTTAACTCTCTCGCTTCGGAAAGATGGTCGATGGGAGGACAAACGTAAAAACTTGTGTGCACACTGTTTGTAAACCAAAACATTAAATCGCATATGGACAATATACTGTAAATCAGTTTTATAGTGACTTTCGACATCCAACATTAATAGGCAAATGATATCTATAATAGTGGGTGAGTGAGTTGGGTTTAACGCCGCTTTTAACAGTTTTCCAGTTATATCGCGGCGTGTCAGCTTAATGTGGGAGGAAAGTCCGAAGTGATGCAGGTCTCGGACGTTTACCACTTCGGTGAAACCCACGAGGGTAAGGTGCTGACAAACCTAGAAACATAATTGGGGCGAATCGGGATTCGATACCACAATCATAGGTATCTTGCGTGTCCAAGGGACGCAACTCTGCACAGCGAATCGCGGCGCCTTAGACCACTGGACCACCCGTGCCCCCGATATCTATAATAACAATAGTAGTAAACTAATATTTCTAAGTAACAAGACATTTAATTTATTTAGGCTTATTTAAACGTTAGATTTGTATTTGATTTTAAGCCATATTGTACTTCTGTTTCTTTGTTTCTTTGTTGTTTAACGCCGCACTCAGCAATATTCCAGCTATATGACGGCGGTCTGTAAATGAGCGAATCAATCAGACAATTCAGTGAATGACTTCAGGAGCATCCATCTACGCATTTATAGGATACGGTGATATGTATCAACCAAGTCATCGAGCCTGACCACCCGATAAGGAGAGTGGTATGGCAAATAAAAGAAGTTGAACATATTCTTATTTTCAAATAGTGGTTTCTGCTCTGGCGATCAAATAAGAAAACAGAAAAATGGAAATGTATTGACTTGTATATGGTCATGTGTCGGTTGTATCGATGCAATAAACATAATTGACAAGAAAAGCCAACTATCCACTATAAACATGTATGTGATAATATACTATCAATACTATATTAAACGCAACTGATAAATAATTAGAAGATAAATACTATGTGTGTGTCTATTTCCGGGATTTTATCGAGTATTTGCATCTTGGAAATTCTTCTCGAGACCCGAAAGCGTTATCGATATGGTAAACCTATAGTTTTATTTAGAAAAAAAACATGCGCACTCTTTAACACCTCGTACTTACCCACCCTTTGCTTTCGCTTGCTTCAGGGAATGCAAATCATATTTTCACCCTTTGACATTTGGTCATGTGACCCAAATTATCCAATCACAACACAGAACACACTTTCTATTGGTTTACAATTATCATTACTGACCATGCATTCGTTTATATGTGTATCGTGTGTTTATATACCATGGTGCTTAAGCAACGGAGTACCATTTCTTGGTTCCCTAGTGGTTCCGGTTTGCAATATGTCCTCGGTAGCCAGTTTATATTTAAAGTCGTGCCCCTTTACTCGTCGTAACGCTTCAACCACCAGGCTACCCCACCGCCCCTCGTAAGTGGAGAGTAAATGGATAGCGCGGTCAGGACTTGGTTGATTGCGTGTCATCGTACCCAGACAGTGTGGGATGTTGCCCATAATATCAATCACTGGTTGTCTGGTCAGCGAACTAATATCTACAGACCGTCGTCATATGGCAGTAATATTGTTGAGTGTGGCGTACAACATAATTAGTTAAAAATCTATCAATTAAAGAATTAGTGATATCCACTTTAATGTAATTCATAATAACAAAGAATGGCTACAATCAGTGTACGTATAGGGGGAATCCACCCCGTGCTTTCCGCGTGACGAGCTAACGCTGTCCTCCCCGAATATCTACAAGCCAAGATCACAACGGTCTAATACAACAAAGTTAATGAGCCAGTGGGCAGCTAGTCAGTCCCCTGTTCGCTTTATGCCAAAGTGGACTAGTCTTATAACATGCAGTTACAAAACACTGGATGATTAAGATTTTACATGAACATGAATTCTTTTTATCGGCAAACAACAGCGCGATGGTAAAACTAAAATAGGAATCATTAACAAACTTGATACACATGAGACTAATTTTACAACATTAATTATCTGTGTCTTCATTTGAGGAACAATCCAGCATGCTCTTTCTAGCAAGATTTCAAAGAGCGCCATACTCCTGCTCAGAAGTTGTTTGATCAAGGTTACAACATTCAAGGCCTCAGAGAAGCTTTCAAAACGTTTTATAGTAGGCATGCGGAGGGCATTTCCATATTTGACACATCAGTGACAAGAATGATGTTCGACGCAATTCCCCATTTTGACTTGTATCGCATGTTCCCGTGTTTTTATCAGGTGAACAATTGACTTGCCTTTGCATGCATTTGTGACGTTTGCCACCGGTGGGGCAGGTAGGTTTAAGTTAGTTTGGCCGTCGCTATTACATCTCATGGCTTTAGGAGATCTACCATAGACAACTGGCCTAACTGCAATTATTTTAAGAGTGGCAAAGGGAATCTTGCATACTCATACAATTGCTACTGTAATATCTTTTTATTTTTTTTCTTACTTCCAATTGGTTAATTCACCTACTTTAACCTCTCATATTAAAAAAACCCATGGTCTTGTGTGTTTGTATTCTTTTTCAAAGATACTCAAAACAATCATATAAGTTGTTGTTACTATTTGAATGTACGTGTTTGAACAAACCAACTTCTGGTCAGCAAGATGGCATCCTTCTCAGCTTAATCTCTAAGTTTGTTCCCCTCCATCTGATCCCAACTTCTGGACTATTCCACTACATCAATGGGTAATTTGCCTTTCTTGCTTCATCTAAGTATAGTGATTTGGACGTGTAGGGATTATGATAAGTCGTTGTTTTGGGAAACAACCAAGCTAACGCTTGTATCACTTTGCTACCACCTCCCTCCCCACGCTCCCGCCCACGCCAAGAGTTATTCAGTTATTATTTTTTACGCCGCTTTTAGCAATATTCCAGCAATATCACGGCGGGGGGCAACAGAAATGGGCTTCACATATTGTACCATTGTACCACCCATGTCGGGAATCGAACCCGGGTCTTCGGCATGACGAGCGATTATTTTTTAAAGCATTTTCTGTAAAATATTATCTCCAACCAGTTTCCATCCAAAACCCTCTCCTGATTGTCGTGAATTTATAAAATTGACATGAGAAAAGAAGTTCATTTAAATTATACAAATAACAGAGGATGCCATGCGCTAGTTTGTTGAATGGGTTTAATTGAATAAAGCATCATAACATATTTATTTTCAGGGTCTAATCCTGGGAAATGTTTTAATTCTGTCCTGACCGTTGGAGAGGATTATGTTGTATTCCTCCGCATCCCCGGGACACATTATGAAGCTCATACATTGGAGGTCAAGGTCACGGACGCTGCGTTCAGTGAGGTTAAGACTGCGTGCGGAATGAAGTTTACAGAAATATACCCTGAAGGTTTTTAATACGTTATATTTTCTTTTAAGGAGCTCGATGTTATTGTAACCCAATGCATGTTCAATCAGACCTTCAAAGTATTTTCGAACATTGCTGAGTCAATTGCAGTATGAAGCGGGTGTGTGTGTATGTGCTGCTGCTTGTATTAGTCCGGACTGATATACCATGCCGCAGTTTAACATGAATACCCCAGCATACTGACTCCGAGCCGACCAGTCCTTGTTTTAGCCCCTTAATGCCGAGCGCTAGACAGGGTAACAACAAGTACCATCATTTAACGTCTTTGACATTATTACAACGAATGTCATGTTAAAACACGACGTAAAAATACAATGTCAAATATCTCTAAATTCTGGAAATTAATAACATCCCTATTTCGGACAAGATAGCGATTCCCCCCAATTTGCATGGCCTGGGCAGTTAATTTGGATCCATGATAAATCTATGCTCTGATATAACAAAACAATCAACAACTCGGTGAAGGCTCCTGTCACTAATGTGACTATACACATGCTGGGAGACCCGTGAAGACTCCTGTCACTAATGTGACTATACACATGCTGGGAGACCCGTGAAGACTCCTGTCACTAATGTGACTATACACATGCTGGGAGACCCGTGAAGACTCCTGTCACTAATGTGACTATACACATGCTGGGAGACCCGTGAAGACCCCTGTCACTAATGTGACTATACACATGCTGGGAGACCCGTGAAGACCCCTGTCACTAATGTGATTATACACATGCTGGGAGACCCGTGAAGACCCCTGTCACTAATGTGATTATACACATGCTGGGAGACCCGTGAAGACCCCTGTCACTAATGTGATTATACACATGCTGGGAGACCCGTGAAGACTCCTGTCACTAATGTGACTATACACATGCTGGGAGACCCGTGAAGACTCCTGTCACTAATGTGACTATACACATGCTGGGAGACCCGTGAAGACTCCTGTCACTAATGTGACTGTACACATGCTGGGAGACCCGTGAAGACTCCTGTCACTAATGTGACTGTACACATGCTGGGAGACCCGTGAAGACTCCTGTCACTGATGTGATTATACACATGCTGGGAGTCCCGTGAAGACCCCCGTTTCGATGTTGTGTACACCATTGACGTCTGTTGGCAGTATGACGATTTGGAAAGGGCGACACAAGACGTGGCCGTCGAGATGAGCTGCATGTACACGATTTCTAATCGTTTGAAACCCGTGAAGATCCGGGCTAGAATATGTATTCAGCAACCCAAGCTTGCCGTGAAAGGCGACTAACGGGATTGGGTGGTTGAGACTAGATTATTTAAAGGCAGCCGTCATATAGCCGGGATCTTGCTGAATACGGCGTTAAACAACAACAAATAAACAAACAAAACATCCTGGGATCGTAGCATAATCATTGCCACCATGTTCTAGGCCTCACAGACGTAACAGCAAAGCACAAGTGCCCGGATGTCAAGAACACACCATGTCCCACCACGACGCCGTATGTTCCAACACATCGGACGAAACATCCCCCACCACGTAAGTAATACATTTCATAGCAACGTGGGTTTTACAGGATGGTTTTATTCTTGCACCAGAGTCTGTGGTAACTTAAATAAGGAGCCTTTCGTAACAACGTGTGACCTGGTTGATTTTGTTTCCAGGAACAACAACAACAACAACAACAACAACAACAACAACAACAACAACGACTTCATCAATTCAAGGAAGCACCAAACTGGCGACGCAAGGTGGTCCAAAAATAACGAAAAGGGTTACTATGGAGACAGTCACGATTTCAACGACGGAAAGAAGTGGTTCTAGAAACAACGGGGCATTTAACATACAAACTGTGATTCTGTCGTTTGTGATTGTGTTTATCTGTTATCGTGTGTAGGTAGTGTATGGTGTTACATAGATAGCCGTGGACGAAGCGAAGGGAGCACTGTAATTCATGCATATAGATGTTCCGTCTGTAACGTATCATTGAATACGTTACTCAGAAAACAAAAATGAAAACGTTTTGAAAAATGAAATCGCACTCAAGGAACTATCGCTTTTGTTCTCATACGCCACTCATATCGGCACGTCATCGATCCCAATTGCGTGGATCGATGCTCATGATATCAATCACTGGATTGTCTGGTTCAGACTCGATTATTTACAGACCGCCGTCATATATCTGGATATTGCTGAGTGCTGCGTAAAACAACAAATCAACCAACCAACTCATATCTGCAGTTTATTGGAGACACGTCGTTGCCTTCATTCGGAAGTCAAGGGAGGTAAAGCGTCCACGGGGATGCAAGAGAGAGTGGAGAGTTGCCTCCCTTGTCCTTTCTTCGCTGGTCGTTGGTTTAAGTCTCAGATTTGCACCGATTATGATCCTTTTCTAAATTCATGCGACCTGCTACATTTTCGGTGAGGTGAGGTGAAACTGGGTTCAACGTCGCGTCCAAGATTATTGCACTTATATAGCGACGTGCTGCTTGTACTAGTCCGGACTGATGCCGATTTATAGTGCTAGCCCACTGATATACTATGCCACAGTTTAACATGAATACCCTACTCAGACACAGTATACTGACTCCGAGCCGACCAGTCCTTGTTTTAGCCCCTTAATGCCGAGCGCCAGACAGAGTAACAACAAGTACCATCTTTTAACGTCTTTTGGTATGACGCGGCCGGGGATGGAACCGCGCTCTCCGGGCGGACGCTCTACCACTAGACCACGGAGGCGGTCTGCTACAGTTTCGACTGTACTCCCACATTTAGCTGACATGTCGTGATACTGGTCGAAAGGCCTTATTCCTATCACTCACATATTCTTCGGATTTGATTGTACTTCACATGGGATTTTGTAAAACTGTGTTTGGGGCTAAGACGGGATTATCATTAAGTTTGCTTGATGGGGAATAATTATTTAAGGAAATACAACTCAATTGGCGTTTATGTCTTAGATGACGTGGGGTCCCCGTCTAATGCTGTGCAGAGTTGCGTCCCTTGGGCACGCTAGAAACTTACGATTGTGTCACGGTTTGCCCCGATTATGTTTCTAGGTCTGTAAGCACCGAAGTGGTAAACGTCTGAGACCTGCATCACTTCGGGCTTTCCTCCCACATTAAGCTGCAACGCCGTGATATAACTGGAATAATGTTAAAAGAGGCGTTAAAACCAACTCTTGGTTGACACTTATTGTCAACCCCGGTGTAAGTGAGGTGTCCCGTTTCAGAAGTTTAAATGTTAACTTTGTATGATCTTACATAACGTTAAAGATCTACACGGAGACAGGAAGATACACGTGATTTGCCTATAGCAGGACGTTTTCCTCTGTTAATAAATTATTAATCGTATACCATTGTGTATTCAGTGTCATCATTTATGCAACATATGAACATCTGCAAAACATTTGAACAGAAAATACAACACTTCAAAGAATTCGGCCCAGTATGGTTATATCGATGCAACACTGTTCACACATAGCTGAGGCACCAATCAAAATCGTTTGATTATTTCATAGCGTAACATGAGAAAATAATGCACTCAGATTTGGTAATACCCAAGGGGGTCCCGGGATAACCCGAGGCTGAGAAAAAGCAAACAGGTCTATTCCAGTCTGGAGAAAAATCACAAAGGGCCGTTCCAGTCTGGAGAAAAATCACACAGGGCCGTTCCAGTCTGGAGAAAATCACATAGGGCCGTTCCAGTCTGGAGAAAAAATCACATAGGGCCGTTCAAGTCTGGAGAAAATCACATAGGGCTGTTCCAGTCTGAAGAAACATCACATGGGGCCGTTCCAGTCTGGAGAAAACCAAACAGGGAGAAAAACCAAAGAGGTCCGTCCCAGTCTAGAGAACAGCACACAGGTCCGTGCCAGTCTGAAGAAAACCAAACTGGGAGAAAAACCACACAGGGCCGCCCCAGTCTGAACAAAACCACACAGGGCCGCCCCAGTCTGAAGTAAAACAAACGGAGAAAAAAACAGACAAGTCCGTCCCAGTCTGGAGAACACCACACAGGCCGCCCCAGTCTGGAGAAAACCGCACAGGGAGAAAAACCAAACAGGTTCGTCCAGGTCTAGAGAAAACTACACAGGTCTGTCCCAGTCTGTAGAAAACCAAATAGGACCGTTCCAGATTGGAGAGAAACAAAAAGGACCATGCCGGTCAGGAGAAGACTAAAGGCAAGCAGACCTTCAGTGTCCGGAGAAGACTAAAGCTGATTACCGACCCCCATGGGCTAGCACTAAAAACCGGCCTTATTCTGGATAAGTATATGACTCACAATATGCAACACCCTGTTTTGTTTGTTGTTTAACTCCACACTCAGCAATACTCCACCAAAATGACGGCGGTCTGTAAATAATCGAGTCTTGACCAAACAGCCCAATGATTGACATCTTGAACATCGATCTCCGCAATTGGTATACAATGGCATGCGTCAACCAAGCCTGAGCACCTGATCCCATTAGTGGCCCCTAACGACAAGCATGGGTTGCTGAAGATCAATTCTAACTCGGATCTTCTCATTGTAATGTCACAGTTGTCCCAGTCTGAGACACCGCATCTAGCTGTACCTGTATTCAACTGTCGTGGATTTGCATCCCAGATTTCATCTGATTATTGTCGGCACCGTACCTGCGTGATTGTGGGTTCCCCAAAGAGGTAAAACTATTTGGAACCCCTTCACTTTGAGCTTTCTTCTGTGTAAAAGCTCACATGGTGTGACATCGCTGAATACTGTTTTAAACTGCTTTACACGTTCACCAATACACAAGAAACCCGTGGAGCTTTATAATAATGCCTGTCTCGGAGTTATTCTCGGAGACATCATCCTCGACAATCCAGAGTATTACACCTCCTTTCTATTATGATACAGTACCTGGACCCATTCTCCATCAAAGCTCCGTTTCAAGAGTCCGATTAAAAAAAACGATGCCAGAAATAGCCGTTCTGAACGTTCAATCTGAGGTTTCAAATCACATTAACAACCTCTGTTTGAAACAGACTTGACAACCTTCATCACCGTCAAAGCTAATTTTAAGAGGCAAATACTTCTTTCTCAATCATTGTCGGTAAACATTTTAAACTTATGATTTTGTACCATTGTCGGTTACAGAATGCATAGTGTAGGTTCAAATAATTATCAAATTATTTGTAGGAATAAATTTTGGTCAGAAAGCACTATAGAAATCGACTAAAAGTGCCCTACACATTTTAGGGAAAACAGAAAACTTGAATGTTTTAGTTTCTTTATCTGCGACTATCATATTGTATCTTCTTCGTAACTACGAATGCTGTGCTCTGAGTTAGGTTTAACGCGGCTTTTAACAGTATTCCAGTTATATCACGGCGTGTCAGCTTCCTGTGGGGGGAACCCAGGAGCACGGATATTGTGCTGCCAAACCAAGAAACATAATCGGGGCGAACCAAGATTCGAACCCACAACCATAGGTTTCTGACGTGCCCAAGGGACGAAACTCTGCACAGCGAAATCCGGCGCCTTAAAAAAATGGGCCACTTCTTTATATTTACAGAAGGTATTTGAGACAAGTGGTATTATTACCATGTGGATTCTCAAAAACTAAAAAACTATAGTGATTCATAAACACGATATGATTTAAATGGAATCGTACAATCAACTCTGATTTTGACAGAACTATCTTATGAATATGGAAAGGATTTGTTGCTTTTATTTACTTGTACCATATGTTTCCGTGTTTCGTTTCAAGTGAACAATTGCTTTGCCTTTGCAAGTGTTTGTGACAGGCGGCTCTGGTGGCGAAGTTTACGCGAATACCTAGCATTATCACTATTTGATAGTTATTCAAAAGCACATGCTTTACATGTAGTCGGAATCGTACAATCTCCTCTGCTTTTGGAAGAAATTTCTTACGAATATGGAAAGGATTTTATCGTTTTTAGTAACACAATTCTAAACTCACAAAAACGTCTTGTAAAACTGACAATAATTGTGATTTATTAATTGGCTCGAATACCTTAAAATATCCCCGAAAAAGCATCCAATTTACCTAATTTCTTTGACAAAATACCAAATTCTATTCTGTAGAATGAAACCATTATTTGCCATAGCTGGCACAGAGGAGAAATACTATTCCGGACTTCCATAATTGAATATTGTGTAACATATTTCAACATCATTAAAAGTTTAAAACACTGGTTCAGGTTTTATTTTACCTCATGGCAGACAGACATAGTTCAGGGTGAGAACAGCAGTACAACATGGCGGGAACCACATTTGGACCTGTGTTCTTGTTTCTCGTGAGATATTGTGTTCTTGTGTCTTGTAAGACAGTGTGTTCTTGTATCTTGTGAGACATTTTGTCTTGTGTCATGTGAGACATTTTGTCTCGTGTCTTGTAAGACATTGTGTTCTTGTGAGACGGTGTGTTCTTGTGTCTCATGAGACATTGTGTTCTTGTGTCTCATGAGACATTGTGTTCTTGTGTCTCGTGCAACACTAAACTACTAGTCTCTTGAAAGTAGAAAGTGTCATTTGTAATGACACCATTCAGTTTGAACTGTCATGTCAATGACAGATGACAAGAAGATACTTTACTAATGCCATTACATAGTATGTGATGAGTATGGCAAATACTTGAATGATCCGACACTTCCATGATGGAAAGTAAAGATGTAACACCACAGAAGACACCGATACAAACTTTGAATGCAAATATTTATTTTTGGACTGGGAAGGGAATTAATACATGCTACTATGTCACACTAACTGTAACCTATACTGAACAATAGACTAATAACACATTCCACGTTAAGGAATTGTTTATAAACCAGCAAATATAATATGTTTTAGTTATTGTCATTCTGAAGATTGGTATGACAACCAGATATTCTATTGGTATCAACTGTTCAGTATAGTTTACAAGTAACATTCACTTTACACAAAACGTTAGGTATTATAAATAGTTAATAAACATGCCTAGATCATTTTTCGGTGTGGGGGTAAGTTGGCGTTGGATCGTCGTAGTCCTAGAGACGGATGGCGTTGTACCTTCTCAAGGGACGTCGCTGAGAAGCGTTTGGCAAGGTCTGCAAAAGAGTGAAAAGTTATGTAAATATGTAAGCTGTTTCATTTTAAGTTGATCTATTTGTATTCTTTGAATGAATAGATTTCTACCACCGTATGCGTGCTTCAGAATGATTGTTTTTTATTGTTCATTGTCTCATTTCAGGTACGAGCATATCAATTATGAGCAAAATGACTTGGTTAACTGCAAATGTAAATGAAGACATTAAAAAGAGATGTAAAGTACACAGTGCCCTAAAAACCTCATGTCCTACTTACTTTTATTTCACCATTCATTCTGGTTGTAGCATTAGGTGTCTGCCACAATGACTTTGGAATGTACTGAAAATTGGACAAAATACTCTTGTTAAAACAGGATATTCAAAAAATAAATAGGTTCAAGATCAATTTAAACGTCAATGGCATAGGTATATCCTCGGGGATGTATATGATAATATTACATTAGTAAAACTTTTGACTCTG